GCACAAGAGTAATCCAAGTTGTCCTCAAACATGGCTGAGGATATCTTCCACTTCCTTAGTGTCCTTGTATGTAATTAACCTTTCACCAAATATTTAAAAAGCTAATTGATCAGAAAATGTCAGTTATTAAGCTTTGGTGATTTTTGTGGGGAAAGTTACTTAGAATAATCAACAATGCCTGTTGTCTGTACTCTAGCTGTGTTAATAAAGTTTGTAAAAGGAATAATGATTTTTTTTCCTTGACAAGTTTCATGGAAATTTTGTGCTCTTAAAAAAGTCTTCAACAAAAAAAAGTGATGTTAAGATGTTGATTCTCGCTCAGGGCCATTTGATTTAAAATGTCCTTGAGCACTATAGCGTTAAAAAATCTGACAGTGAGAAGCTGGATATGAATTCATGTGGCGTTTAGTATCTGATATGTCTAATTAAAAGTGAAGGTTAATTGTATCTATGTAAAGGATAGTGCTTAACAGAGCAATGGTGAAACCATATGTAAAACAGCTAGGCCGTTCAAAACATTCTCATAGAAAACAGGCCATTCAAAACATTCTTACTACATGCATGCTAGGTTTCTGTCTCTTGTAACATATGGGTGTCTATGGTTATACCTAGCTCTGTTCAGTTCATGCCAGCATACGATGATGGAGCTATTTAATGCCAGTATATGGCTTCAGATGCAGCCGTCATTTGGAACATTAAGTTTAATTTACGTGATTATTAACAACGATAATGAGTCTCTTGTGAAGTAAATACTCAATTGGTATTTGTAAAGAAGAAAATTACTTCTTTTTTGCATAATTTTACTCTAATGAACTAATTTAAAAATTCTTACTTTTTTTTGTGAACTCTTGCATGATTCAGTCATTGTTTAGTGCAACTAGTGTGCTAGTTTGTTTATAGTGGTGTAAACCTGAAACATTGCTAGGTAATGAACTGACCATTTTAAAGTTACCATTGTCTGTTTACTAAAAGTATATTTGCAATAGTGGTTATGAAAGTGTATTAATAGTTAAAAGGGTTTCATACCTTTACAGTTCATTTCAACAGTTGTAATAAATAGGGAAATGAGATTATACCAAGGAGAACATTTTGCTCTTCAACAATTTGCTCAAATATCACAAACAGGTACGAGATACCAAATAATGATAAAAAGATTTCATGTGTGAATACACTGGAAAAATGTAGATTGAAGAAGGCAAATATAATTTAAAACATTTTGAAAGGAGAAATGGCCATGCAGGTCTCGAATATCTGACATAATGTTTTCTTAAAACAACAAATTAAGCAGTGAATGATGATTCCGAATGCTCATTGGTAACATAATCATAGCAATAGCAGACAAAAAACCGGGATCTTGTCTTCTCATTATGTGCCTTAATGACATCCAAAGCTAGGAGACAACCGTATATCACTTACATAATGGAGGCTTAGGGGCAACAGGGTTCTGTCTCTGTATTCAACAGACAACTGTAGGGGGGAACAAATGCTTTGATTTCAAGGAAGTATTGACCAAATTAACGGTGATGGGGATGATCTTGGAGAAGTTGACTTCGTCCTTAGGATTGGAGGAGAAAAACCAGGGAGAAAATGACAACAATAATTGTTCTTCTGATGAAATCGAGGATATTCCCGCAGAGTCCAACCCTATGACAAATGGAAAACCGGGATCCTTCAGTCGTTCGTCTTGGTCAAAGTGTATCGCTGCACAGCAAGAGGTCAATCTGGTGGAAGCAAGAAGGAGACAATCGCAGAGTTCAGAGGTCACTGCCAACGAGTCTTATTACAAGAGCTTCGAGGATGACTATTGCCTCCAACTACTTTTCGATGAAAATGAAAGACTTCACCAGGACGACGAGGTGGGAGATCGAATCAAACGAGTGCACTTCAACACTAATTGTGTGGATGCTGTTGAAAATCCTGGCTCCCAGGTACAAATTTATTGCTATTTCCTACTAATATTGGATGGTTGAGTTTTGATTAGTGGATTGCTCAGTATGAACAAAGGTTTAGAATAGGTCTATCATGTAAACCCTGCAAGGTTTTAAATGTGGCCTTGACAGGAATTGATGGACTTGACAATGATTAGTGTTGGAATTGAGAGCTATTTTTGGGGAGGCATGTTAAAACATTTTTAAAAAAACATGATCATGTATTGTTTTAAAGCTTTATGTACAGTGTATGTTATAGCTTCATAAAATGTTTCATTGAACATATATATACATGCTTTGATTATCCCAAATATTTAACATGCTAGTGGACTACTCATAATACAAATCCACATACAAAGTCATTGTATGAATTTCAAGACTACCTTGCACTCTGATCCCATGATGGAGATGCATAATGGTGCCTGCAGGGGCTGAAAGTAGTGGGCATTACTGGTAAACTGTAGTAGCAATAGTCATTAATGGACTTTCAAAACCAGAGGGTTTGGTATTAAACTTTGAGAGTTAATTAAAAAGCCAGGTGTACAGAAGTAACAGATGAGACTGAGAATCACCTACACTGTATATTGTCAGTAAGTGGGGGTTACATAGAGGGCAGATGTAGGTGGACTTAAGCCACAGGTGTATGGGGGATGGTCACACTAATATTATTAAATATGTTAAAACAAATGGAGTTCATGCATTCAAATACATGCGTTAACAAAATGGAGTGGTCCAAGGGGCACACTTTTTGACTAGATTATGCCCAGTGAAGGTTTGTATTTTTCAATAAGAGACTGATGGGAGTATTTTTTTTTTTTACTTTTCATTACATGTACATAAGTGCTTAATGAGTAAGTTAACTATTTTTTTTTTAAGAAATTGATTTTTTTGCTCTCGTTTTAACATGTAAGATCTTTTAGATATCAGGAAAACTTTTATACATACTATAATATAACATCAACTTCTGTAGTTATAAATATTATGTTTTTGTTGGAAGACCTGAAATGCTTAAAATTAATGTTTAAATTGATCATATGAGGAGGAATTGATTATATAAGGAGCCACAAATCTGTTGCAAACAATATACCATTGAATTCAAGATACACCATCATCTAAGATTAAATGTTAAATATAAGATGAGAGAGAGGCAATTAAAAAATCCATTCTTACTGAAAATCAATCCTGTTGAATTTTTCATCAAATGGTAACTATATTCCTAAGTAGGCTTCAAAATTCAAATTACAATATTTTCATGCAGATTATTGTAAAAAAGAAATCACTAATTGGAAGCAATTATCTATGATTTCCAGAAACGTCTTGCCTTATTAAGTAAATGGTAAATAAAAGTCATCAAAGACTATTCTCAAAAACCCTGTTGAATTTTTCATGGTTATTTTCCAATGTGTGATTTTTCTCCACACATGTTTAAAATTTCATTGAATCTTGTTGAAGTTAGTAACTGCATCTGCATTTGTTGATGAAAAGTTAGTATACACTTATCCACTGGCTGTGAGTGGGATAGGTCTTTTATCAAACCCGCAACAGGAACTATTTCCCGAGGGCTTGCCCTCGGGGAATAGTTCCTGTCGCGGGTTTGATAAAAGACCTATCCCACTCACAGCCAGTGGATAAGCGTTTTATTATACTGATGTATATTATAATTTCTTAGTCTATTGATATATCGATTGAAATCAAAATTGGCAGGAAAAATTGCATGAAAATCTTTCGAGGGTGAATACAAAAACTATACCCCGGGGTATACCTTTCTATGCGTGGAAATTTTCAGACTGTGAAAAAGAGTCACTTTACCATCTTAACTTTATATAGGAAATATTTTAACAGAAGTATAATAATATATAATTATTGCTGATTTTTTTTAGGTCAATACGATGATTTAGACACCTGAGGAGTACAATATTCACTTCGCCCGTATTGACCTAAAAAAAAAACCAGCAATAAATGTTTTATTATATGATTAAATGATAGCAAACTGACCTACATGTACAAGACTGATTTTGCTTTAATTGAAAGTTTTAAGGAGAAATTTCAACAAAATGCATTGTTACAGGAAATATGGAACAGGAATAATTCCTTGTATTGACCTGCAATAATTCCTTGTATTGACCTGGAAGGTCACATGATTCATAATATTGACCTGCAATAATTCCTTGTATTGACCTGGAAGGTCACATGCAGGTCAATATAACATAGTATTTTTCTAACATTGTTGGATCTCAGCCAATCAGTGATGGGGAAATTATTCCATCATATAATAATATATTTTACATCTGCATGTCTGCAGTATTACATGTAGAGACTAATCTGAAAGGTATATGAGTCAGAGATGATACAATTCCTGGTGATCAGATTTGACATTTAATGGTGATTTTAAGGGTTTACTCATGACTATAAATAGTGATTTGAATCTTTCTTTTATCATGTTATTGATGGTAAATATATAGCGAGTTGCAAGACCTTGTTGTTCACGGTCACAAGTTATACATGTAATATTCATCAGATATCTCTAATGATTTAGAAAACAATCTAAATATTTGCTTACATTGAATATAGGTATGTTGAATATACAAAGAATAAAAGAGATTTTCAGTTTGAAAAAATATATAAATTTTTTTTCCCACTCATTCAAGCAAAGATGCCTCAGATAATTAGATGTATGTCTGACTTAATTTTAAAATTGAAAGAACTAGCAGGTAATCATGAGCATAAATGCATTTTTTTTGGTTTACAATATATAACACCAAAAACACTTGAAATCAAAAGACAGATGCAGATATTGCACATTTTAATTGTGTAGACTAGCAATATTGATTACCTAACCTTCAAAAAAAAATTAACATTGATGAATATTTATTGGTCTCTAAGTTATCGATTTCAGTTGTAATCGACCTTCCATTTCACTGTTATCTCTTTAACATCATTTTCAGGGTATGAAATAAAAATAAAAAACCTGTTTAAATGATAATAGTTATCAGTAAGATTGAACAGGTGCCTATCGATTATGCATTGCTTCTGAGTTTGGTTAATGTAGACTGGTGCTTTTGTCTTTTGCAGGAGGGAATAAATATGATGGGTCATTCAGAAGATGCTAGGGACAAGTGGACACACCCCAATGGAGGGTAATTATAAATAACTGTGAATTACTCTATATCTAATGAAATTATACACTTAATCATATATTAGATGTGATTAATCAGAATGCATATTTAGCAGCTTCATTTGATTTTGTATTTGTCATTTGTATGAAAAGTATCTTGTACTGCCCATGATCTGCAGCAAGAATCCTTATTAAATGTTCATAAATGAATCTAATGTAATTGAAACTTAATAATTAGTAAAAAGATTTATATATATGTTATTTTAAGTTGTTTGAAATCATTTCAAATTTGGTTAAAATGCTTATACATGCATTAATACAAGATACAGAATGCAATAAATTTCAAATTTAGTTAACTTTTTATATGCATGCATGGATTCAATCATATTTTTTTTGACAAGGAAAACTTTTAAATTCTTATAGCATTATGAATAGTATTTTCTAATATGAAATTATGTGAAATTAGTTGAATCTGATTGGTCGAGAAACATTTGTTAAAAAACACTGCTACCCGCTGAATAATGAAGCCACGCCCTCCAGCGTAGCTTTTAACAGTCAACATTGCTTGACGACGGGAGGTATTCCAAAAAATAGCGACAGCGCAGAATTTATGCGTGCACGGTTCACTGTTATATGTATTTGTATAAAACATTCAGTATAATATAATAAATATTGCATGTAGTTGAGTGTAACATTGAAAATTTTCACTCCTCGAAAACCATTGTCAACCTCGGATGCGCCTCGGTTGACAATGGTTTTCTTGGGGTGAAAATTTTCAACGTTACACTCAACTACATGCAATATTTATATAATGTTTGTAGGCCAGAACACAATGACATATACAGCTGTTTGGACACCGTTCCAGAATTTACACTACCCCGTCGAAAATCGGTTGCTCTTGTTAGTGACTTGGTAAGTAGTTCTTGTACAAATCAAATAAAAATAGATGGTGAGTACATATCATAATCAGCATATGCAGAATATTATATTTCATTTCATTTAATGTGTTTGGTTCTGTCAATTAATATTAACCCCTACCCTTTGCCATAAATCCATTATCCCAATTGCATAATATTATTTTTATAAGTAATAGTTAATAAAACACAGGTAAGATTTTTACAATGAAACCTCAGCATTACATCTTTGTCCATTTATTCCAACTTGTCTTGGCATTTGAAGCCTAAAAGTCGCTATGGATTTCAGCATGTTAGCCTCTCAGGTTGATGTTGTCTATCCGAGTTACTTCCAGGCTTACTTCAAATTATTAGCCCACCTTGACAAAGTCAAGATGAGTTTATGTTGTATTTCTGGCATCGACATCCAGGTTAAAGTTTTAGGAGCAAGCTAGCCATTCCCAAGTAACTATTAGCCCTACCTGGACCAAACTTGCAGAGATGATGCACCTAGGGATGGACACTACCAGACTTGCTTTGGGTACTGGAGCTCACCCTTCATTTTCTAAATGTTTCGAATATTTCTCGCACGCGAATAAAAGTTGGTGTACATGTGAGTATTAACAGTAATTTATAATTGCTTTTCAGAATTTCTGGACCCCCCCTCTCTTCGGAAAGGTCCTAAATTGGACAATTGAAAGCATCCAAAATTTTGTCCTAAACAGCATAATTATAAATGATTATACATTGCAGCATTTTTTTTTAATTTTAGAGAATAATTTTTGAAAGTTTATTTCAACTTTTCTGCCATAATTCCAGATCAGTACAGTTACTGTCTAGACAGAGAATTCTGGACTATGTAACATCACTAATGTTTTTAATTTGAAGTAGATTCTGATTCATTTAAAAAAAAAAACACGCTCTTTAGAGATGACGCCTTTTCATTTTTAATTAATATATAATGATGTGTTCTTAGTGAAAATAAAATGTTCAAACTATTTCTCTTAGAAATAGGCAGCTACAAGTTTTTGAATTGATTATCAAAACTAGACCATCTGCAGAAATAAAGATTTTTTAAAAATATTGATTGAATTAATATTTATAATTTCGATTAAATTTAAGTGCAAACTCGTGAAATTTAATAGCAAGATCTTTTATCTAATGCATCTATGGGAATTGATAAGTTATGTATTTTTTTGCTTTTAAAAGTATATTACACTGAATTTCTTTGCAATTATCTGGATTTTCCCATACCGAAAAAAGTTATAACTTAGTTATAACTTTTGTAACTAAAAAAAGTTACAAAAAAGTTATAACTAAGTTATCGGAGTTTGGAATGGCATGTTTTAAGTGAGGTATAATTTAGTTATAACTTAGTTACAAAAAAGTTATAACTTTTACATAACTTTTCACCTTTTATTCAACATAAATACAGCAAGTATATAAAAGTTATAAAAAAGTTATAACTACAAAAAGTTATACTTATTAAAAGTTACACAAAAAGTTATAAAATAGCTACAAAGTTATACTTTAGTTATACCCAAATAAACAGTGGAAAAGTTACAAAAAAGTTATACCCAAAAAAAGTTATGAAAAAGTTACAAAAAAGTTATACCCGTAAAAAGTTATACCCAGGAAAAGTTATAACTAAATAAAGTTATACCTATTATAAAGTTATGAAAAAGTTACAAAAAAGTTATACCCCAAGAAAGTTATGAAAAAGTTATAGAAAAGTTATACCTAAAAAAAGTTATAACTGCAAAAAGTTATAACTATAAAAAGTTATACCTATTAATAAAAACTTTCGTAAAAGTTCCAGTGAAATTATACACTGTATGTTAACCTGTTGTGGATTTACTCAGTTATAAGCTTTTAAAAAGCTACTCATTAAAATTTAAAAAAAAAAGATTTTTGAAATTTATACAAAAAAGATTATTTAAAACATATTAAAGGCAATAACAATTTTACCTAACAAACACGATAAAGATAGCTTGGTTTATTGTCAAATACAACTAAATGAATGCACATGCAATTGTTTTCAAAATTCAAGTGTACCTTATTTTTCATCATGTCATCTACAACAGATTGAAATTTCTCTGGTTGTTTTAAAGAATACATTTTTAGCATATAGCAATTAGGGTCTTTGTAAAATTACCTAGCAAACTGCATTCTACTCTTGCTATTTGTATAAACAGACATCACTGATTTTTAAATATTAACACCCTATTTATTTTTGATCTAGCTGTATTTCAAAAAAAAGAAAGGTTCTAAACAGTGATTTCAGTTACAGTTTCTAGCTGCATACCACCCTCCTTGCACAGGTATCCTTGCAGGTGTACAGTTGTTTATCTTTATTATTTGAAGATAGGCTGCACCGAAAGTTGGCTGAGTTAGCTGACAGACTTAGCCATCGTTTGACAGGCCGCACTGGTAGTAGACCAAGTTAGCTGACAGACTTAGCCATCGTTTGACAGGCCACACTGGTAGTTGGTCAAGATAGTTGACGGACTTGGCCATCCCTTGACAGGTCGCATCTGTAGTTGGTCAAGTTAGTTGACGGACTTAACCGTCCCTTGACAAGCAGCACTGGTAGAAGGCCAAGTTAGTCAACGGTCTTAACCGTCCCTATATTGACAGGCCGTACTGGTAGTAAGCCCCTATATTGACAGGCTGTACTGGTAGTAAGCTGAGCTAGTTGACGGACTTGGCCATCTCTTGACATGCGGCACTGGTAGTAGGTTAAGTTAGTTGACGGACTTGACCATCCCTTGAAAAGCCGCTCTGGTAGTAAGTCAATCTAGTTGATGGACTTGGTTGTTCAATGACAGCCGCACTGGTAATAGGCCAAGTTAGTTGAAGGACTTGACAGGCTGCACTGGTAGTCAGCCGAGCTAGTTGATGGACTTGGTCATCCCTTGACAGGCCGCACTGGGTCAGCCGAGCTGGCCGAGGGACTTGGCTGGTGGTCTGCGTCCCTCATTTTAGCTGGTCAGACGTCTTGGCTGGCAGGCAGTGTGACTGGTAGTCGGCTAAGTTTTCGTTGAAATATGCTTTCAATTTTAACCTTTTCTTCAATTCTGCAAAAAATTGTAAAGGTTCAAAATTTAGATTATAGATATTTAGATAGTATATTTCCAGCACTCATTTGCATATCAAATTTAAAAAAAACTCTTCCATATCAATTAATTCAAATTCATTAATTCATCCAAAACATGGAAAATACAAGACTAATTTAAGATCTATACTTACAGGAATCAGTTTTAGATTGAAAGATTTATTGAATTTTGAAATGAAAAAAAAATTTACTTTACCTAAAACAAGTAATATTTTGAAGAATTTCATGTACTCCAGGTCAGGACAGATTCAGCTCATGGAAACATCATGTACCAATATTCTGCTTTATAAAAAAAAAAAGAAAATTAATGTTAAATTACTCATTTCATTGCATTAATTAACGTTGCAGCTGGATCATGTTATGATCATGCTGATGCGTATAAGGCTTCACAATATTTTAACAGTTCAGGGAATCTATAAACAATTGTGGGAATAAATATGACAAAGAACAACATATTTGATTAATATACTAAATGCTGAAAAATATTATGCGTTTCAAATACTTTCAATTTGTTTACTTCAGTCTTTGTCATTCGACATACCAATCAAAACAAACAAGAAATCTAAGATTCACACGCCTAGAATTTTGTTCATTCCCAATATTTCTTCTTTTTGGAATGTTATTCCAGAGGTACTAAGTATACTTTACCAAAATCAATAAAATGTTAGCATAAATATCGCCTTACCAACTGGTTTTATCTCCTTTTTTTCTATCAACACTTTCAACATCCAAACATTCAAATCGTCCATGGAAAAATCCGCGCTCTGTTATTGACCAATCATAGAACTCAAAAACGTCACGTGATCGAAAAAAATAAATAAATAATTAATAATTAATTTATTTTAAATGCAAATAAACCTCATTGTGTAATTTTAAACTTAAATTAAAAATATAAATACCAGTTGGTGTTAAAATTTTGAATTTATCTTAGTATCAACAAAACGGACATCGGAGGCCGCCATATTTTTTGTTGCCGCCATTTTGAATTTAATATTTGTTTATTTGTGAAAATAACTATTATAACTGGGTTATTTAATTATGCAAACAATAAAATCTACATGTACTAGTCATCTGCTTAAATCTTAATATAACTGGCAGTCTTTATTCACAACATCGTAATATCTGTTCAACATGAACATGCACATACTCTATGCTGTTGTTTATCTTTTTAGCCACCCATATTACGACTGTTTTTTCTATAGATTTCAAGCAACCTGTGTAGAATTGTACCATTCAGAGATTGTGTAATACCCAAGCTGAAATATTTACGATGTGTTGGCCACAAAGGTCACCTAGTACAAACACCTGTCTCACAGAAAACAATAGGGAAATTTACACAGTTTTGCACACGAAGAATCCGTGCAAAATTCACATGACTTCATGAGATTACATTTCATACTGTTTATATCTCTTGCAGTACATTATGAAATATATTCATTCCCAACTTCAGATGTAAGTGCATTATTATAATTTACAAGACAAATATTATGTCTCATCAGGGTCTCAATAAATACGTATTTTCTAGGAGAGAGAGAGAAAGAGAGAGAGAGAAATTAATTATTCTCAACTTTAGTTGAAACTTACATGACAAATATCAATTTAAATAGACAATAATATTTATTACACACATATGACATGTACTGTGTACACACCCTCAAACACCACAGAGAGAGAGAGAGAGAGAGAGAGAGAGAGAGAGAGAGAGAGATTCTCATTTATAGATGTAATTTACAAGATTTTATTTCACATCCCTTCTGTTGAACTTGACATGGCTGTGGACAGCATTGTTACAACGCACTTTGAAAAATTACGCACTTTGAAAAAATTTTTCAAAGTGCGTTAAATTTTGGGACCAAGTCAACGCACTTTGAAAAAATAAAATTTCTTTTCAAAGTGTGTTAATATGGACCATATTAACGCACTTTGAAAAACTGTGTATGGATTTGTTAATATTCATGCAAATCTTAGGTATGATAAATAATTGAACCTGTTTTATATTTCTTCTGTGAAGAGGTCACATCAGGATATGAAAGTGAGCGATTTTGATTTTTCCATACTTAGAAAATTCTTTCTCGCTTAAATGCTTTACTGTACTTAATTTTTTTCAAGTTTGCATGCATTTTATGTAAACTTAAATTTATTGAAAGTTTTCAACGTCATACCAGTTATGTAAACACATATATTTGGGTGTAGCATAGGCAACAGTACCGGAAAGGGGGCTTACATGTAGGCACATAAATATTTTGCAAAGATATACATAATATATACATGTAGGCATTAAAAATTGGGGCTTACCTGTGGGGTCAACTTTCAATTTGCTACCGACGGCTATGTACAATGTTTAAGAAAAAAAGAGTTGGGATGAGAGACCTTCTACTCGTCTTCTCCTTGTTCTCAATGAGGTTAAATGAGTTCATGTAAATTTAAAAAAGTTTTTCGAAAGATATAATTATTACAATTTGATTTCCTCTATTACTAAAATCTAAGTCTAGAATTTTTATTTTATTCATATCTTTTTTTCAAAGTGCGTTAAATGCCTCCATGGTAAAAAATTATTATGTGCATTCTTAACGCACTTTGAAAAAATTTTTCAAAGTGCGTTGAGTGTGTCCAAAATTTAACGCACTTTGAAAAATTTTACGCACTTTGAAAAATTTTTTCAAAGTGCGTAATTTTTTCAAAGTGCGTTGCCACACAGCATATTTATTATGAATGAGAGGTCGATCACTGGTAGTAAACAATATTATTGTTCAGGAATTGACAAAGTTTTCTGCTGCAGTGTTTGAAAAAAAAAACAAAAACATTTTGAACATGATCAAAATTCATTCAAATTAACACTTGGTTATAATGTTATTTTTGAAAAAAAAAAAAGTCGTGTCAAGTAGTATCCATTAAATATTACCCCCAAAACTTGTAAATTTATACTGGTAATGCTTGAAAATGGCTAAGTTCAGAAAAGTTATGTTTTAGTTATACATGAAAATGACAAAGTCCAGAAAAGTTATGTTTTAGTTATACATGAAAATGGCTAAGTCCAAAAAGTTACATTTTAGTTATACATGAAAATGACAAAGTCCAGAAAAGTTATGTTTTAGTTACACATGAAAATGGCTAAGTCCAAAAAGTTACATTTTAGTTATACATGAAAATGACAAAGTCCAAAAAAGTTACATTTTAGTTATAACTTTTTTGTACCTCACAGGCTAGGTATAACTAAGTTATACTTTAGTTATAACTTAGTTATAACTTTTTTCGGTATGGGTTAAGCACTTTTATAACAGCATATTTTTCATATGTTGTGATTTCTTTAGAAAATTTCAAGCAATCAGTAATCATTACAGAAAAAGCTTGATACATAGAAAAACCATGTATAGAATTAGAACCCAGTCCTAAAATCTAGTTATGTTCTACTATCTGAGATTTCTGGCCATGGGCAATTGAGCCCCCACCCCCATCCCCCACCCCTATACCAATATCTCTCTCTTCTATTTGAATTTGTTCCTGCATGAAGATGTTAACCAATGCTCCTCTAATGCAAGTCTTCAAACCCAGAAAGGGAAAAAAATGCGACAGTCCAGACAAGGATTTGAACCTTGGCTCCAATGAATTTTAGACAGGTACTCTTCCACCTGAGCAATCTTTACCTCTGTTGATCAAACCTGCCTGACTACAGCAGTAATTTTTAAAATTTTGCTGGCAATGGCAAAAGTTAGATTTTTTAAAAATCTTGCCAAATTCTCCTGTCTGCTTTAAACAAATAAATATTAATAACTCTGCTCTTACACAAATTTATCCTGACCAAATGATATAGGAATGAAAAAAAAGCATTCTGGTTAGTTAGATATATTGCATGTATTTGTTGCAATTAAAAAACACACTAGGCTAATATCAACTGAGAAAAGATGTGAAAAACAATTTGTAGTAACCCTTTCAGGGTGAGCTTTGGACCTTGAGTGTGCTTCATAGTGATAAGTTTCCTGTTTGTCTGTAGAACATTGAAAACAAGGGACTTGCTCACTTTGTCCTTGGCAATCAACAGTTTAATTGTTATCCTGACTAATATTAGCTTCTCAAATGATTCCAGTAATAAAACATTGGCTTTTTTTGCTTTACAGGTTCTTAAGGTATTCTCTCCATTAAATTGAATGTGATAGCTGTAGACATGTTGTGTAGCAGTTAATATTAGAACATTTGCTCATTTTGTCTGTTTCTTTTATGAAATTTTTCAAATTCTTAATTGATGTTACAGATATTTTTTGATGTGAATGGCCTTAACACATTCTGTAGCTAAATTTGTTTTATTATGTTCTTTATCATTATTATAAATTTTTTTTTCTAAAGATATCTATTTCATAGGCTTTCTTCGAAATACTTGCACCTTACTATATGTAGCAACAGACACAATCTTTTAAAATTATGTTCATTTTGTTTAGCAGATATTTGTTATTATAGCTAATCACACTATTACATTACTAGTGGCGGTGCAATATAAGATTTGCTATAGTAAAACTTACACAATTTTGGCACTTATTTTATCATTTTATTTTTTTCATGCCCAGCCATGAATATGGCAGGGGCGTAAAGTGTTTGTCATGTCCATCTTCTGTCTTTCCATCTCTGTGTCAGCCAAAGTTGCAATATGCTCAGTTTGAAAATTTGTTTTCCATAAAACTTTCTTATCATTTCTGATACATATTAGTGAGATGTATAAAATGCATAAAAATTATCTAGACCTCTCTTTTTACCTTGACTGCAATTGTACAAATTAGTTTTAGAGAAACTGTGCAAGATTTATTTAGTTAACTTTATATTATGTTGATACATTTGGTGAATGATATAAAACTGCTTCAAAATATTTTGACCTTGCACCTTCTTGATCACCTTGACCAGTTGCCATTCCTTTCTACTCTATGACCTTGACCTTACCATTCTTGAAACTGTGTTAGTTCAATTTTAAAGAAACTATTTGTTAGAATTTCCTCTGTTCTTGACCTTCCCTCTATGACTTTACCAAGTTTCATTAAGGTATTTCATTAAAGTTCATACACGTATATGTATTGGTAAGAATGATATAACTATGTAATACCTTTCTGACCTTAACATTTTCCGTGTCCTTGACCTCCCCATGACATTGACCACAATATTCTCATTTATCCTTATCTTAAACAAAGAAGAAATGTACATTTCTTTTCATGCTACATTACCAATGAATCCTGGGAAGGCATTCATGTCCTTTGGATATATTTCTAGTTTGAATACATCATATCTTTTTAAATGAAATTATAGATTAAAAATTTTTGTAGTGTAGATTCTTGGAAGGTGTTGAATTTCCATTTAAAATAGGCACATTTTTCATACAAGCACCAAAAATGCATGAACACGGAAAAGAGTAGTGCATGTAATTCATTTTCAATCAATTAAAAGTCTTCAGCAAATGCTGGTGTTTGCATAACAATTTAACAATTGTCAATGAACATTTTTTTGGGCTGCTGACAAAGTGCAGAATTGACTTTTTATTCTTGGTTTTCATTGATTAGCCGAGAAAGCCATGTAAAATGTCTAGGAATATGAAGCTCATCACAAGGGTTTAATTGTTTAGTTGATTATTATCAACATTTAAATTGTTTATTTTCAGCATCTAATGAATCCTTCATCCATTTGATGGTGCATAAATCTGCAACCATATATACATGTGACATATAATTTCAAAGGCAAAATGGCCTTGAAAGTCGAGAATCAATTAGTGTTGTGTTTTATTTACAAAGTAAAAAAAAAAAGAAGAAATCAGTATTTGAAAAGCAATTTAATTTAGCTTAGTGCATACACACATGTAGGCTAAAAACTAAACATGGCATTTGGATTTTGTTTGATTGTGTATAAAAAATATTTGATTTGTTGTAGTGCATTTTGTGTATCTAATGGAATTTTGCGTAAAAAATGAAATCTTAAATCAAATATTGTTGAATTTGATCTTGAAATTTTTCATCTGCAGCTGCTTTGATTAAAAATAATTTGACAAATGGCTATTTTCAGACTATGCAATCCAAACGAAATGCACCTTCTGCAATGGTAGCCAGACAATCTTTGAAAGATGAGGAATTGGTAAGTTTTCTCTCAGGGGAAGATATTGTGGTAACAGATTACAGGCGCATATAATATTGTTTCTAGGGAATTTATAATGATTATACAGTGCCTGAAATAAAGAGGGATATTGATTCCTAAAGATCATACATTGTAATTTAATTAAGAGGGAATTTAAATATTTTGATTGTGTGAGCAATATATTGATCATTTCTAAATAATGGTAAATAAACACAAAATGCCACAACTAAGGCAAAATATAGAGTAAATATTCAGCAGCTAAAAAATTTTACTAAAAAACTGTGTATTATAAGGTTAGATTAATTCAAAGGATGCCCACCTAGGCTAGGATTGGGCAACTTTAGGTGGAGTTAAGTTAGTCATTTGTAAAAGTCCTCTATTTATCCTGAACATTTTATCAAGCAAACTGTGTGTGCAGGTCCAGCCTTGGACCTTAAATCAAACTGTAAAAATTACAGTTCATCAAATTCGGCTCTAGCTTACAGGCTGCATGGGCTAAGTTATATATTTGAAATTTAGTTTAAATTTACACTCTACAACATAGAAAATATAGGTGTCCCCATTTTGAGATTATTTCAATTTCATGTTTATCAACGTGAGAGCATTCATGTTAATAGTCTAGTCTTACTTTCAGAAAATGCATGTGTACAAGAAAACCCTTCAGGCTTTAATCTACCCAATATCCAGCACGACACCACACAATTTTGTGGTGTGGACTGCCACCTCTCCCACATACTGCTTCGAATGTGGCGGCCTCCTGTGGGGAATGGTGAGACAAGGTGTTCGATGTACGGAGTGTGGCGTCAAATGCCACGAGAAGTGTAAAGACCTACTTAATGCAGACTGTTTGCAACGTGAGTTGTACTATCACTTTTCAGTGCAAGAAGAGATGCGTACTTACTTTTAAGTACAAACCACTAAAATCAGTGCAAACATTATATTGTCACACTTGATGAATGTAGGTTAAAGCTGCCGTATTTTTTAGTGTAGAAAGAATACCTGAATTTCACACCCAATATAAATACTGATAATTAAAATTATATTTTCTAAAAATCCTCTTCGAATTTTTCTTATATTTCAGGGGGATAAGCTTTTGATTTATCTTATATAAGTTGAAATATTGTCCAACTGTTATGAAATGAAATTTTATTTGATATTTAATACCTGTTTTATAATCGTTTTTTATCATAGATATTTAAAACACAAAACCATTTCTTAATAATTCAATGTTAATTTCTTACGTTATATCATGCTTCGGTTACTATCAAGAAAAATTTGTCCGTAATATTTTTTTCAATTTATCAATTAACAAAACAAAAGATAACATATAAGTTGAAATGAGGGGGATTGTCCAACCCCTGTTATGAAATGAAATTTTATGTGTTTTACCAAAATGTGTTGATATTCAAAGTCATAATTAATCACAGTCATCAAGAAGTGATGTGAAATTAACTTTTTAACCAGCCTGTCCAAGCGGCTTTGATTTACATCAGTGTATCAATTAATTTAATTTCTAAACGGCGCCATTAAGTGTAATTAGCTCTTGGGTGAAATTTATATTTTCCCTGACACTTAATAGCTCAATGTTCTGTTATGTTGTAACTAAATATTGTGTAGTTGGTTGAAATGTTAAATGTTTTTTTCGTTTGTACGTTTTTATATATATAGATATTTTCTCTTTTTGTTTTGTGTTTCATTGCCTGAACGAATTATTAATAGATTGAATTGATCATAGAACCTAAAAACGAAAGTAGATCAAAATGAAAGTGAAAGCTGTAGGAAAGTGAATTTATTTATACAAAATGTTTAATTTTTTGATCAAGTCATCATGTCAGACCTCGGATATGAATTTCAGCTGTCTATGGTTATAATCATACCGGTTATTATAAAGTTTTGGCCTGACAAATAAGCTATGATAATAAACGGCTTGTACTGTATTCAAAATCCTAGTTATCAAGCATATTGCCCTTTGGTGAAATTTATATCACCTCAATCTAAGGTTCAAACCCCTGAATGAAACTGAATTTTTTCATATTTGATATAACCTTAAACTTAATGGACTTCTTGCAGGAATAAAACTAGCAAATAATCTAATAATCTAGGTATGATGCTTTACATCAAGAGAATTCTGAATGAATTGTAAAATTCTTTTTGCAATATTGCATAAGGGTTCAAATACCAGGTTCAGATGAGGCTGAGTTGATCATGTATCACTCAGGTGCATAGTCAAAGTCTCAGGGCTTGAAATATTTATTTTTATCTGCTCTTATTTTATTGGAAGCATAGAGGATTAAATTTAAAAAAAAAAACATGTATGTAGTTGAAAAAATATCTGGCTTAGTCAGCTAGAAAACCAATGTAAATGTTGACATCTTCGTTGTTACCTACATTTGAGAGGCCTAGTTAAATTGATCATGTGAGAAAGTTGGCTAAAACCCAGCAGGGTGGATTGGACATTGATTTGTTTTTGAGAGCGATGGTTGTATTCTCAGGTGCTGCGGAAAAAAGCTCGAAACATGGTGCGGAGGATAAGACGCAAAACATCATCATGGCAATGAGGGACAGAATGAAGATCAGGGAGAGGAACAAACCCGAAATCTTCGAACTCATCAAGTAAGTTGTCTTCCCTTCTTTGATGCTTGGGTGCATTGGTAGAGCAAATGGCAATGTTAATCAACTTTGCTTTAACTGATATCTGTTCAAATGGATAATTATTAAAAAAAAAAATGTCAAATGGTTTGATTTCATGTTTGTACAATTTTGGTGTGATAATAAACTTGTAAATTTTTCACAGGCGATACACGTAATTTTGTTATGTGACGTATAATCTTAATACCATGGACTCGATAAGTTGATTAATTTTATAGCATTTAACACCACAGTATACTGTTACAGTACATATAACTTTTTCTTCCAGCTTTTAAATGGAAATTGAGCTGTATAATATTGCTTTTATTAATGCTCTATTTTATGCAATTGCTTCAAGTGTAAGATATTTCATGACAAACTTGTTCATTAGAAATGTTTTTGGTGTGGATAAAAAATCACATACTGGCCACATGAAAGCAGTGAAACAAAGTGTCCTGGAAGGAACGTCCAAATGGTCAGCTAAAATAGCCATTACTGGTAAGACAGGGCTGTGTTTGGATTGTAGTTCGCCAGCCAGTAAATGCAGGCATCTGATCACAGAGTTGGAAATAGAGGGATAATCAGACATCTTAATAACATTTTAAAAAATTTTCCTTGACTTTTCAAAACAGAAAGGCGGGATGAATGTGGGAATTGACTTTGGCTTATTTGGAAGCAAGTTTATAGTTTTAAGAGATAGAAAGATCATTATGTGTATGCAGTGCAGCTCAAGTTGATCAGATGTCTGCTTATGTATGATGTCAAAGATGGACAGTCTATGAATGCTAAGCCAGCTAGTATGAATCACCACACAACCAATGGTGCCACAGGGCTCAGCAGAAGTAGATGGCCATATTGCTTGAATGTTGTGCTGTTTTTGTGATCTATGTTAAATTTTCCTTTTTGGCAGGGAAGTGTTTGATATTGGGCCTGCTCTACATGCTGGCTATATGGAGGCTGCCAAACAAAATATTTTGGATGGCACCTCAAAATGGTCAGCTAGCATCACCTTAACAGGTATCCCACTCCACTCAGTTTAATTAACCCCCTGTATATATATATTACATATTTTATTCCTAAGTCCTTACTCTTTTCTTGTATTATTATTATCTAATTATGGGCTCTGGTTTGTATAAAGATCTTTTTTCATTTATGGGCGTCTTTTTTTCTTTTCATCCTTAAATTATATCCAAATGTTTCAATGATTTTATTTAAATATAATCAATTAGGGACTTGGTGAGGTGTTTGAATTTATAAACTCGTTTCTTTGAGGTATTTTGGATATGAATGGCATTTACTTTCAATAAATTTACAACTGAAACACCCTTTCTTTTGAAATATTCATACAAAATACTACTTATTATCCATATAAAATGGGGAGTTTACTGCAACTAATATTTTTGCCTAAGTATCCATTTGTATTTCCAGCTTTCTGCTTTATACTAATAGTTGAATATTTTAGATAAGAGATTGCGTTCTATATTAAATAAGATAGCTGTAAAAATTGGTAGTTTTTGTAGAATTTTTCAGATATGAGGAAAATGACACATTTCATGATTTCATAATGCATTGACTAGTCAAAAAATTTGTCATTTTTTGATAGATATGCAGTCACAAAAAGTGTTGGTGATATTTAATCCATTGTTAACAGAAACTAAAGCAGTTTCAGTTTTTCAGGAATTCAGAGGGCCAAAAAGGCCCTTGTTAAGACCTTGTTCTTTTGACAACAAACTGTCTTATGTATTCTTTTGGTCTTTCAAATGCATACATTCATATGAAGTGTGGGTTTGTTGCTTGCAATCATGCTGCTGAATTGAAATCTGAACAAACCTTTAGCATAGGTCACAATAACAATATGATTTTCTTATCAAAAACTGCAAGTCTTTTGGAGCAATTTTAACTTTGAGAAAAAAAAGTATTTTGCATGCATGCATTTGCTTCTTACTGAAATCTTAGTAAAGTATTGAATATCCGCATGGCTATATTTAGTGAAGGTGATTTTTAAATTAGATATATATCCTCTGAAAACTGAAAAGAAAAATTTTAAAAATTATAAAAATAGATGATGATGATGATGAATTATTTAATGTGATAAAAAGTCTGAAAATTCTTTATGATTATTTTCAGATATTTCCAAATGTTAATGTGGTTTAATTTTTTTTTTCCCTCAGTGATATGTGCTCAAGGCCTGATAGGCAAAGATAAAACGGGTACCAGCGATCCTTACGTCACTGTGCAAGTGGGCAAAGTGAAAAAACGCACAAAAACCGTCCCTCAAAACCTCAACCCAGACTGGAACGAGAAGTTCTATTTGTAAGTATGCTGGTACTTATCTGTTACTTATCTGTTACTTATCTGTTAGTTCTCTGTTACTTATCTGTTACTTATCTGTTACTTATCTGTTACTTATCTGTTACTTATCTGGTACTTATCTGTTACTTATCTGTTACTTATCTGGTACTTATCTGTTACTTATCTGTTACTTATCTGTTACTTATCTGTTACTTATCTGTTACTTATCTGTTACTTATCTGTTACTTATCTGTTACTTATCTGTTACTTATCTGTTACTTATCTGTTACTTATCTGTTACTTATCTGGTACTTATCTGTTACTTATCTGTTACTTATCTGTTACTTATCTGGTACTTATCTGTTACTTATCTGTTACTTATCTGTTACTTCACTCCTAATGATGCTGCAGTATTGTGTAAGTATGCTGGTACTTATCTGTTAGTTCACTCCTAATGATGCTGCAGTATTGTGTACAGTAATCATGTACTTGCTGTGAACTTTCATCCTAAAATATAAAACTTGTTTTGATTATGTTGATAATTTCTTAGTGTTTTCATTGTTTCTTGTGGAATATGGTCATTTATTTTCTTTGCTTCACTTGTTTGAACATCACTGAAAAATTTATTGTAGAAAAATCTCTGAAGAAATGTTTTTGTGAATTTGTTTAATACAAAGTTATGATTTACCATAGGTCACTATAATTTGAATGTAGAGCTTTCACTTATTTTTAAGTGTTAATTTTTTTCTCTAAAATTGTAGTGAGTGCCATAATTCATCAGATAGAATTAAAGTACGAGTTTGGTAAGTTATAAATTTTGTATACCCTTGAGAGGATTTTTGAGTATTTAAGAATCAGAGAAATGTATTTATCCTGTTATTTTACACCTGATGACTGCATTTGCTTGGCCCTTCAAAATATTTTGTGTACCCTATAGTAGTTACTCTGTCTGTCTGTCCATCCGAAAATTTTCGTGATCATCACTTGGAAATGATATATTAAACACACATAGATAATAATCATAGCAATTTCTATGTGGTTAATAACAATAAAAATTTATGTGAAATTCTAGCAAAAAGTACTCCTCCCTATAGAGCTGCAGTCTCATCAGAGACTTTGGCATTTTTCTTCCTCTTTGATTTCAAATTTCCTGTTATTTTCGTTAAAAAAATAATCAAAACAATCATCTCCCAAACCACACCTTATCAATGTTTCTTGCCGACTGGATAGATTTTAGGTTTGGGATAGGCTAAAAAGCTTTTTGCAAATATTTGGTCATTTCATGTGAATTTAAAAGATTATTTTTTTTTTTCATTTTTTCCTACGCAAAGATGTACAAATAGTGTGATATTTAGAGCAAGCTTGGCCTTTGTGTTGGTCCAGCATTATTGGATATTAGAATTTAATTTTGCTATGTAAGAGTTGTTTATAGGTTGTGAATGAACAGTAATGTTTCAGAGTATCAAAATACAAGCTGTAAGTTGTAAACTGTACAATGAACAAAGCTAGAATTTGCTATTTGAATATATCCTTTAGGAGTTGTGCAATTTTAAAGCAAAAGTAGGCCCTGATTGACCATTTTGTACATAGCTGTTACATCAAGAGATGTATACTAATTATTATAAGCTTCAGATGCTGTGAAACTGATTTAGATATCTTTAAGGTTCTGAACCTAGACCTTCCAAAAATGATGCATTGACAAGTCCTATTTGACCAAAATCACATAAAATGTTTAACTTCAATGTAATTAATACATGTAACTCATTTTTCTTTACATCTGCTAGCTGCTCATTTTATACTTATTTGTAATATTATACTTTAATGTAAAATTTTGTAGGACTGGCATTTCTAGTATAGATGTTATATAATATTTAAGTGTGAATTCATTTCGCTTTTAATAGTTGATCACAGCCAGTTTTGTTTATAATACATTAAGCACAGCTGGTTTGAAATGTTCCTTTGTGGTATATGTGGTATGAGGACTATGTCCATTAATGACAAATGATGCAGAAAAAATATCATGTTTCTTAATTAATAATAATTTTGAAGAAAATAAAGAACAATTATAGATTTAAGTGAGCTCAATTTATTGGGGGGGGGGGGATTAATTTTTTTTTTGAAAGAGATACTATTTTTGAAAAGGATGTGTGCTTAAATAAAAGATAAGAAACATGTCATAATGTGCTGCGACACATTTTTATTACAAGTTAGAAGTGAAATTTAGGAAAATTTATTGAGGTTTTCCTCGGTTGTTCACTGTATGTGTGCATCACAAGATAGCCTTGTTTTAGGGATGAAGACAACGATTTGAAATCAAAACTTATGCAGAAATTGACCCGGGAATCAGATGACTTCTTGGGTCAGACCATTATTGAAGTGCGTACATTAAGTGGAGAAATGGATGTATGGTATAACCTGGGTAAGTCCCCCGCGCCATGCCTTTGCCACGCACTACAACTTTTTTACTTGTATCTCAGTGTGGTTAGTTTATGGCATGGTTTTTAGGACAATCTCTTGACAATCTTGTTTTGTCTTTATTTATTTTTCGGTTATATACCTCCATGCTTTCATGTGTCACTGCCAATCACGCTTACCTTATTTTAGCTTCTCTTGCTTTGATGGTTGATTGACAATTTGTCAGCTATAGGCCAGTCAGGTGATGCTTTTAACTCTCTCAGCTTATCAGCTACTAAAGAGCTTGCATATTGTAAAATAATGACAAAACTGCTAATCTTGTAACATTTTCAGCTATCACCATTCATAATTGCACATATTTTAAAATCCCTTGCAACAATGTTTGAAATATAAAATGAATACAGTGTGAATTGAGGAACTCTTCTCAACTTATTTTTGAATTCTGAAAATTTCAAAAATTGATGGATTTAACTTTTTTTAGACCAATATGCAAGACTCTTACTTGGCAAGTCAGAAAGCAGAGCAGTTGACATGTGATGAAAGTATGAGAGATCTACTATAGGGCCAGTCTTGATCAGTGATTGGTTGACTTGTCTGTCTCCATGGCAACATGTTCAGATGGAGGCAAGACAAGACAGCCATGTTCCTGATCAATATTTTGACTATATAATGACTTTCTTTTAGTTTTAGCTAACCTTCTAAATGTTGTGTTTTGTTGGAAACACTCTTACAGGGACGAAGACGATGATATAAAATCCAGACTGCGTCAAAAATTTACCCGAGAGTCGGATGATTTTCTGGGTCAGACTCTTATCGACGTCACCACACTTAGCGGTGACATGGACGTGTGGTATAATCTAGGTCAGTTTATGGCTCCAAAATCAATCAGTATAAATCGTATAAAAATCCAGCATCGTCACTATTCACTATTGAATGCCTCCTGTCTGTATCAACGTTATGTAAACCTTCCAAATTTCCCATTCTGTTTCTATATAAAAACCATTTCCCCTTTATTTTTTCTTTTTTTTTTTTGCTGGTCATTTGTGAATTAGCAATAGGTCTTGTAGAGAAAACATCACCTTTGAACAGTATTATTGTCACAGTAACACACAGATAAAATGCCTGTTATTCTTACATCTTTATTTAAAATAGGAAGAAATTCAGTCAGATTTGATCAATGTAATTATCTCACCTGTGTAGACCCTTAAGTGGGAAACAGATACTTAAGTTGTAGAATATTCCTCACTTAGAGTGACTAAAGGCACTGTGCCAGTATATTGCACAACAGAATGCACAGCAGAATTATTAAACTGTAAATTTTTGCATTACATAGCCTCTTGCATGGAATAATTTAAAAAGTAATTGTTCATATGCATTTTTTTTAATGGTATTTAGCCCTGTCTGTGAACTTACACTATCTCTTCTGATCAAAATATGTTTGTTGTCTGTGGTTGTTGTTGTCCTACACTTTTCACAATTACATCTTCTTTCCAAAACCAATTTCAACTATTACTTGGTATAGACCATCCTTGGGTGAAAGGTATGTTCAAGTAAAAGGCCTTTACCTCTTGAAATGGGATTTTTTTTTTTTTTACAAAAAAAGACAAAAATATGGTAATTGGAAAAAAAAATCCTGATCTTCTCACAGATCACTGAGCCAAAAAGATGAAACATGCGAAAAGTTTCTGATGTAGGATAGATTCAAATTTATCCAAATCATGGTCCCAGAGATAGAATGATATCACAAAAGGGGATAAAAGTTTTACATGATAATTTATAGGAATTTATTTTTAAAATCAACTTTTTAAAGTTTTACAATGATAAGTGACATCAATATGCAAACGTCTTGGGGTAATTCAGATTGGCATATGTTCAAATCATGATCCCTGGGGCTAAAGTGAACTCGAGGTGAAATAATAACTCCAGTAACTGAAGAAAAAGCAGGGCCTCGATGACTCAGGTGAGTTTTGTGACCCCTGGGTCTATAAGTGATCCATATATAAAAATAATATCTGAAAAGGCACAAGAGCATAGAGATGAAATTCTTGACAAATTAGTCCTCCTTGATGCTGCAATTTGCAGTGTCTTGTTTGCTGCCATTTGCAGTGTCCTGTTTGTCATAGGATTTACACCAGGGAACACCTTCCCCTTTCTTTTAAACATTGTCCGAGGCAATCCCTTATTAATATACCAATATCTGAATTTGATTACTACGAAGCCATTTTTCTGCATGGCCTCTCCCATTTCCTGTAAATTTTTTATCCAACATAAATGTATATATATTATACATACCCTGGTACATACCTGGTAGTGGTTTTCCTTTTTAGCAGCCAGCATGGCTGTAAATTTCATTGTGATATAGTCTATAATATATTGTATCAAAATTGATTGTTAACCAACAAAACTCACAACAATTATTGTATTAATTGTATCACAGAAATTCTATTTTCACATAATCTAATTTTGTATTAGTCATGAGCATGTTGGGCAGGGTGGTTGTATAATTAATTTGAATATGCAAGTTTGCATGATTGCATGTGCATGTATAGATCTAGCATTCTTTTTCCATCATTAATAGTGTATTGTTTTGTTTTATATGCCTTTTGCTATGAAATTTCTTATATTTTAATCTTATTCACAAAAAGCATACAATCCACAAATTTCAAATGTCTAACTGGCTTTGGATGTATCATCAGCAAAGTATTTGTGAAACAATGTAAGATATATGACTAAAGGAAAAAAAAATGAAAAATGATATTTTAATCTACTTTTCTTGTATGATTTCTTTGCTAGTCCACAGTGCATGTACATAGTTTGCTAGTAGTTGGTATCAGTTAAACCTTCTTTAAATGATAAAAAAAATAAATCCAATAGTGATTAAAGTAGAATAATTTTGTTTATTTTTAAGCAGATTTTTGTGTAACAGTATAAGCTTTAAAATGATTTTAATTCCCTTTTGAATTCTATTTTAACTGATTTGCCTATTATGTAAATGTATTGGTAAGTGAACAACAGAAATAAGTATTTTAAGGTAGTTTTTCTCATGGTAATGTTCAATAACTCTGCAGAGAAAAGGACAGATAAGTCTGCTGTGTCAGGGGCCATAAGATTACACATCAGTGTGGAAATTAAAGGGGAGGAGAAAGTGGCACCTTACCATGTACAGTACACCTGTCTACATGAGGTAAGTTTAACTCATTACCATGTACAGTACCTGTTGAGTTAAGATAAATGTAGCTCATTGCCATGTACAATATACCTGTCTACATAAGTTAAATATAGCTCATTACCAAGGACATTAAACCTTTCTACATGAGGTAAATGAAGTGCAATACCATGAACATAAATGCAATACCATATACATTATACTTGTCTACATGAGGTAAGTTTAGTTCAATGCCATGTACATTATATTTGTCTTCATAAGTGTAGTGCAATACCATGAACATTACATCTGTCTACATAAAGGAATGCTAAACCATGTGCATTACAACTGTTTACATAAGTGTAGTGCTATACCATGTACATTACAACTATCTACATAATGTAGTGCAATACCATGTACATGACATCTGTCTACACATAGTGCAATACCATGTACTTTACACCTGTCTACATAAGTGTAGTGCAATACCATGTACATTACATCTGTCTACATAAGCGTAGTGCAATACCATGTACATTATATATGTCTTCAAAAGTGTTGTGCAATACCATGTACATTACTTCTGTCTACATAATTGTAGTGCAAAACCATATACATTACACCTGCCTACATAAAGTAGTGCAATACCATGTACATTACACATGTCTACATAAAAGTAGTGCAATACCTTGTACATTGTGTCTGTCTACATAAAGTGTAGTACAGTACCATGTTCATTTCAACTGTCGACATAAGTGTAGTGCAATACATGAACATTACATTTGTCTACATAAGTGTAGTGCAATACCATGTGCATTACATCTGTCTACATAAGTGTAGTGCAATACCATGTAAATTACATCTGTCTACATAAGTGTAGTGCAATACCATGTATATTTCAACTGTCTACATAAGAGTAGGGCAATACCATGTACATTACATCTGTCTACTTAAGTGTAGTGCAATACCATGTACAGTTCAACTGTCTACTTAAGCGTAGTGCAATACCATGTACATTACATCTGTCTACATAAGTGAAGTGCAATACCGTGTGCATTATGACTGTCTACATAAGTGTAGTGCAATACCATGTAAATTACAACTGTCAACATAAGTGTAGTGCAATGCATGTACATTACAACTGTTTACATAAGTGTAGTGCAATACTATGTAATTTAACCTTTCAACTTGATATAAGTGTAGTGCAATATCATTATACCTCTCAACATGTCTGAGGTAAGTGTAACTCATGTACAATACACCTGCCTACAAAAGGTAAATGTAGGCAATATCCAGTTCAGAAAGTGTTCTTTAGTATACCAGAAGTTTTGATTTGGATCTTTGTAGATTATCATTGTTGTTTTGTTTCCTTCCAGAATTTGTTCCATTACTTGTGTGAGCAGACAGGAGGAGCTGTAAAACTTCCTGATGCCAAAGGAGTAAGCTAAAGACTAATTTAGATTCATGTAACAATGTTCAACATGATTATACTTTTAATTTATACTAGAGTCAGTAAGATTGTGAAAAGTAAGTGAATAAGATTAGAAAGAAAGAGGGATAAAAAAGCTCTTGTAAAATTTCAAACTAATTCTCTAGATATTTTGGAACTTAATAGTTCATAATATCATTTGTGTTTGTATTGATTTACCTAATTGAAGATGTTATGTTCTACTACCTTAATAGCAAGATGAAGCTTGGAAGGTGTACTTTGATGAACCTGCACAAGAGATAGTGGATGAGTTTGCCATGAGATATGGTATAGAGTCTATATACCAGGCTATGACGTAAGTACTCTTCTTGCAGGGATGGGGTGAAGATAGGAAATAATTGCTTTAAAATGATGTGACATTGAAATCCTTTGAACAACCCAATGATCCTAAATTGTTTTCTTACAGTCATTTTTCCTGCCTGTCCACTAAGTACATGTGTCCTGGGGTCCCTGCGGTGATGAGCACACTACTTGCCAACATTAATGCCTTCTATGCACACACCACGGCCAGTACTGCCGTATCGGCCAGTGATAGATTCGCAGCATCTAATTTTGGAGTAAGTCAGAAGTAGTTTTTAAAGTGTTCCCTAGGAGGATAACTCATTATTTATGTATCGGTACTAGATGGTCATTAATGAACTTGCTTAGAAATCGATGTATAGGTAAAATAAAATGGCACATGGATTCAATGATGACTGTTTTAATTTTTTAAACTGATACATGTGATAAATTTTATACCAAAATAATGGATAGGAATCTTCAAAATGCTGTTATTTGGGTGAAAATACTGTACATTTTGTTAATTATAAAACTGCTCAAAAAACTGCATAAAATAGCAACCAAAAACCAATACACAATTAAGAGGTTTATAATTAATTATTAAATTTCAAATCAATGTACAATTGTTCCACTGCATGCAGTATTTATAATCCCATCATCTGCAATTTTTTTAAATGATACTAACAGCATTTATCTTTAATTTGTGTTAGAATGGACTCTTACTCCTAAGAAATAAAAGTAATGGGCTAAATATTTTAAATACTCATTTCAAAAACTTTTGAGGCCTTTAGAATTTCAGATACTTCTATATTCTTTGGACAGTGCTGAACTCGGTAAAAAGACTTCCATAGTGCAGTGTTTAATGCTAGAGTTTGGTCATTTTCAGTCATCTTCATTTTTAAAATGATACTAAACATGCTAAATGCATTTATCTTAATCTGTGTTAGAATGGACAATACTTATGCCTAAGCAGAGAAAAGATTAATGGACTAAATTTTGTGTTGCTGTCACAAAGCTGCTCTGGTTCTTGTGAATGTTGTTTTCTCTTAATTTCTACTGACAAATTTTTAACAAATTACAGTTGAAAAAATCCTTAATAAGGGTCCTATCTAAAATAAAAATCTGTGATATTTTGTGTCTATATCACATGTATGTGTAAATTAACAAATTATGATCAACTTTTAATTTTCTTTTCTGAGATGACTTTCTGATGAAATAATTTTTTTCCAGAAAGAGAAGTTCGTAAAGTTATTGGACCAACTTCACAATTCCTTGCGCATTGATCTCTCCATGTACAGAGTGAGTTTTCTTTTTATTCCATTTGCATATCACCCTTGCATGTTACCATTTACAGCAATGCAGAGTCAATCATAAGCTGCATTTATTTGGAGAGTCTGCCTTTAAGCTGTTCTTATGACTATTACAAGTGTAAAACAATGTTAAAACAGCATCATCAGGGGGGTGCAATTTGAAATATGCAAGAGAGGCTAATAAATTAATCTGAAAACCCTTCGAACAGGGTAGACCAACTAACAGGTTCTGGTTTTAAGTTTGATATATAAACACTATATTTAGTAATAGGTCATTGAAATACCTTTGGTATATACAAATTTTGATATCTACACAAATGAAATTTGTCTCCATAGAATAACTTTCCAGCCTCAGACCGTGCTCGCCTACAAGATCTCAAGTCCACGGTGGACCTACTGACTAGCATAACTTTCTTCAGGATGAAGGTGAGTCTATCTGGGCCAGGAATCACAGTTGTGTGTAGCGCTGCTCATTTCTCTTAGATTGTGAAATGTTTTGCTTGTCTTGTGATGTGAAGTAACCCCTGCCTTGGAATGATTTAGTGCCTGAATTCACCTGCTTTGCATGAATTTCAAAGTGTCCCCTTCTGAAATCTGTTAGTCTTTGATCACCTCCTTAATTCATGTGTTGGGAAATGAGGAAGTTACGATTAGTGAGATCACATTTGTAGAAGAGTTCTGATAGTGTTGTAGGTAACAAAAATTTTAATTTTATTCAAAATTAGAAAAGTTGTTTAGCATATATTTAAGTTTAAATTGGGCTGTGGTTTTCATTTTTTACAACATTCACATCATATATTTAGATGAATATAGTTCAATAACTAATCACTTATTTAAATAAACTTTGTGGAAATATTTTTAATTTTATTAACCATGTGGGAAGATTTTAACTTACATTTAGTTTTTTGGTCTGTAAGAAACCTTCAGACTCATTTCTGTGAGAAGTTAAGCAATCTCCTTTGAACAAAAACTCTCATCTTCAGTTATCATATTGTATGACTTTAGTATTGACTATACTGCTCTGATTGTAGATTTGTGTGATAGATGATGAACAGGTAATGAATTAGGACAACTGTTAATAATTAGTTATTCTGGTCAAAGTGTTTGAAGGTTAATTATTAAGTTTCTGTAATAGTTGGGGTCTAGGTATAGACATTGGTGTTCTAAGAAATACCTAGTTAGGTAGCTAACATGTTCTGGGAATTAATTTTCATTAGACTAATTTAGTTTGATTAACAATGTTGGGCAATAAATTTATCTTGATTGGGTCAAATTAAAGTGAAAAGAAAATGAGAGAAAAAAAATATTGCCCATATTTTCTTATCTTAAGAATAATTTGAATCTTTAAATAAATAACATGACTAACATTGGAATGAAAATAATAATTTGTTTACATCTTTTAATTTCTTATTAGATTAACACATTAATTGATAATAATCTGTAGAATATGATCAGTGAAAATTACAAAGAGGTATAGTTTGTATGTGTGTACCGCAGGGGTTCAAAATTCCTCAAGCCCGACGTCCCGGATTCCGCATAGAATTCACCAAAGTCCTGGGACTTGGCTATGTTTCTTGTTTATCTTTTTTATAAGTTAAAAAAATGATCGTAAAGCTAAAAGTAAAGCAAATTCTCAAATGTATTAAGTAAAAAGGTGGGTTTGTTGGCGTTAAAATACCCACAAAACAATACGAACGTTTCGATAATACAATCCGTCTTTTTATTTTCCGTTGCGGTTAGACTCTTGCTTTTACGCAATTTCTCATGTTTCCTCCTATATAACAAACGGCAATGAGTTTGTTAAATTTCGGTTTTAGCTGTGACTTACAGCACATAAGTTCTATTTATTGTAACAGATGGTTTATTCAGTAGTGAGTATTTGTAAAAGTTATTGTAATGTACCAGTAATCTATCAGTCTGGTATTATGTTGAAATACTCATGTATGACTATATGACATTATGGAGGTAAAATAAAAATAAAAACATATTTTAATACATATAGTCTATATTCATTCAATGCAACAAATGAAAATAAATTATGTAACATAAATTTAATGATGTATAGGTAAATATACTGTGAAATTTCTTCCTCGGACTTGCCTAAAATTTACTCTTTAAGTCCTGGACTTGACCATGACAAAAAAAATTTTGAACCCCTGGTGTACCTCAGAAATAGTAAACACATAATCATTAATGAGATGTTTGAAAAAAAGATCCTGTTGGAGCATCTTTCAGTATTAAATATATTATAAGATTTTGATTGGCCCCTGTAAAATGTCAGTTAACTGATTTTGATTGGTTAAAAAACAAAGTATATGTCTAATTTTGATTGGTCGGTGATATTTTATTGCTAACAGGTGTACAAGCAGGTAAGCTGTGTTGAGATAATTTAACCCTAATTTATGACTATGCTTTTGTATTTCTCTTTGTATATACACAGATTTAACAATTGTTGATCTTTCTCTATTGGGCACTCTATCTTGTATACTGGAAATTGAAAGAAATTTTTCTAAAATTCACCATCTTCAAAGTGACAGCACAACCTTTATTAATGAATTTGTTTGTCTCTAGGTGATAGCAATATAATAACTGATATTTATTTAGTCTAGTTTAAAATTAAAAGAAGTTGAAAAACAGCTGAATTTCACTCTTGAGTGGACTTTCCATTTCTACAAAAAAGAAATTCTTCTATGTATAATTTGTATTTTTAAAAAGAAATTCTGCATTGACACAGAAAAAAAGAATTCAAAGAAGAAAAATGTTGATTGATAATTTTTTTTTTGTTTTAAATCAGATTTGAATTTGGATCAATCCACTTATATTGCGACTTTGATTCATGATAAGCTGTTGTTGAATATTGTAATTTGTGCAAACCAATGTTGATATCATTCAAAGAAGTCTTCAAGTTCCATATGGTTATTGTTGTAAATTTTTCACTTTTTTTTGTTTGTTGTTGTTAAGGAAAAAGTTTTTTTGTTTCAACAAAAGATGTTTTGAATTTTGAATCAATTAAGAAAACATATGATATGTCCCATGTGCCCCTTCTTCACAAAACTCAATATTTTTTCTTTTCTATCATGTTTTTATTAAAGGTTGAGCATTTCTACTTTTTGAGATATAAAAGTTTTTACAGACAGAGTGCATGGAATGACTTAAATTATTTTAAAACTATCTTGAAAATTCCATGCAAAATTATGCATAGCTCTGTATATTATATTTTGATTTTTTCTTTCTCCCATTTCATTTTTTTAAATTCTGGAATGCATATGAAGTATTTGTAATGAGGGATTACCATTTTTCTGACCTATAATGAATAGAAATTTGGGGGGAAATCTCTTCTAGTATTAACATAGTGTATTTATAACTGATATCACTTATATCAAGACATTTTAGAAAGCCTTAAAAAACACTCACAAAAACATTTCCTGACAATTAAGACTTAAAATCTTCATTGAATTCACTAATGTTCAAGGAATATATTTCAATTGGAATTGTATTTGAATTGAATAACCAAATGCATTTATCAGTTCACAGTTTAGCAATCTATATAGTTTCCTTTGGTCGACTTGAACCTTAAAATTTTTCTCAGCTTCTCATTTAATTAATTAACCATTGTAGGTCCAAGAATTGCCCAGTCCTCCAAGAGCAAGCATTGTAGTCAAAGACTGTGTGATAGCATGTATAAAGTCCACGTACCAGTTCTTGTTTGATCACTGTTATGAACTATACCAGAGGGAGTTTGTACAAGCCGAACCCTCTGAACAGAATATCCCAGGCTCAGAGGAGGCCAATGAGAACAGTCTAGATTTCTGGGATAAACTCATCGCTTTAATTGTGTCTGTGATAGAAGAGGATAAAAACAGTTATACTCCAGTATTAAATCAGTAAGTTATATGATCAAGTGTTAAATCAGTAAGTTATGATCAAGTGTTTAATCAGTAAGTTATACTCCAGTGTTAAATCAGTAAGTTATGATCCAGTACAATATCAAGTAACTCTAGTATTAAATGGATAGAAAATACTTCATCTTATGCTCCAGTATTAAAACAGTATCTAAAGTTAAACCCCAGTGCTAAATCAGTAAGTAATATAACAGTAAGATATAATACTTCATTATGAATCAGTAAATGCTTCATTATGAATCAGTAATTTATACTCCTCTATTAAATCAGTAAGCTTTGTTTCAGTAATTGGTAAGTTATGCTCAACTATAAATTATGGTCCACTATTGAATGAATCAGTTTTACATGTACTTCAGTGTTACATAAATCAAAATTTTATGTCGGCATTAAATAGGTAAGCTCTGCTCCAGTATTGGAACAGTTATAATCAATTGTTAATTCAGTAAACTATCCTAAAGAAGGAAATCAGTAAATAAGTCATATATCATAGTAATTTATCTGTAATTATATAAGTAGAATTCCATAATTTAGGGTCATTCTGTAAATGAAATCACAACATAAGGCCTTTATCACAAGTATAATGTTGTAACCACCATATTGAATTCAGTACAGAGTATTAAATAGCATATTTCACATTTTCAATACATGTAATAGAAATAGATGTAAATTATTTGTACCTCATTTATTAAAAGGCACTCTTATGATGAGATTCAAAAATACAGTCATTTGGATTCTTTTTAATGGATTTTTGCTGTAAGGTACAGTAAAATTTGTCTAATCCGGACTCTGAGTACTCCGGACTTTTGTCCATTCCGTCCGTAAATTTTAGTCCCATGCACTTCTTTAACAAATTCATTTTAAAAAATTCTGTGTAGTCCGGATACTGTCTATTCTGTATTCCGAACGGCCATACTGGTCCCTACTGCTCATAATTAACGGTAATTATTCCCTCTAATCCGGCCACACCTGAGTTACTTCAAAGCAATTAACACCTTTCGTGGGGAATGTGATAATCTGTGTTTACATTAGCATGATTATTAGTGCCATGAGACGAACTCGGTGAAATGCGGCGGTGACACAGTCCACTTGAAAAATATATTATATGATTAAATTACAATTTTAAAAAAAATGAACTTTGTTTTAACTCCTTTTACCACATTATAACATAAACACAAAAATATATGTACGCGATTTACAAATCAAAATATAAATCGGGATCGAAAATCGAACGTATTCAAAATGGCGCCATGACACTGTGGGGGAAGACGTAAATTTTTACATAAAATTAAAAGTTCAATCTAATAATTAGCACATCGTAAATAATTGTGCATTATGGTCAATACATTGAATGAGGTCTTTGACAAGCGAAACCAGGTCCGCTTGATACATAGTAGGCCTATATTATGCGTGCCTGTATATTTTGATTGAGGTAACATTTCACCCGACTTTCAAACTTCGTGAACAAATAAGAAAATATAGTCAGTCATGTAAGACTATTTTAGAATTTCTAGACTCCAAAATAGTAATTGATTTCATCATTTAATTTCATTCATAATATGTATATGATCTACTTGTAAATCAACAACGAAAATTTTCGAAATTGATATTTTTCAGCATATTTCCTGCACTCCGGATTCTGTCTAATCCGGCCAAATTTTATGGAACCGGCGGTAGCCGGATTGGACAAATTATACTGTACTTTTTCTATCAATTAAGTTGCAATTCAAATTGCAAGGTTTTCAATATTGCTAATGCTTTGTGGTTAGTAATATGGATTAGAAATGCTGTACAAAATAGACATGAAATTGCATTTGTAGTCTTAAATGAGGTGCATTCCCATGGAATGAATTCCATCAAGAAATTAAGTTTGACTTTTTACTATTTTTCTTTTTAATGCCATGACATTTTCTCTCTTTTTAAAAAAGATTCCCTCAGGAGTTGAATGTAGGACAAGTCAGTGCTGCCAATATGTGGGCTCTGTTTTCACAGCACTGCAGTATGTTCCTGAAAGGTAAAACAGTCTTGTATGAATCGCAATATTAATACAGACACAAGTAGTCTACAGTACAACATGCTTAAAGCTAACACTATCTAATGAATCATTGCTACTGGCGACGTAATTTTCATTCGCCAACTAAGACTCTAAAATATATCGTAATCCTATCAGATATTGTGAATTACAAATGTGTCCTCTTTCTTTTTTAGATCAAGAACAAGAAAAACCATGTAAAAGTTCCGAGTATATGAATTTACACTTTAAGATAAAATGGCTGTATTCTAAGTTTATAGCTGAAGTGCCTCAGTACAAAGGGACTGTCCCGGAGTATCCAAGGTAAGTCTGTGTCATACAAAGACCATTCATCCAAAATAATGTTTTAAGGGACCACCCTCAGTCATGAAGGACAACTCTTTAATTTATAATTTAATTCAGAAAGTCTTTAAATGAAGCTTGAAAATTAAATCTTTTCATGCAACAATTTTCATTATATGCCTCTCAATGGGCTTCAAGGTTCTTTGAACTTCTCAGAAAGGCCTAATTAAAAGTAGAAATTTCTATCCCAAAAAAGCATTTTTAGATATCAATGTTTATTAACATGATATGAAATTAGAAGTAATTTATGGAGCTTTGCAAAGAACCTTGAGGCACATTAAGAGGCATATAATGAAAATTGTTGCATGAAAATATTTAATTTTCAAGCTTCATTTAAAGACTTTTTAAATTAAATTATAAATTAAAGAGTTGTCCTTTCTGGCTGAGGGTCGGAGTCCCTTAACTTTATTCAAAACGGTGCTTTACGCACATGTAAATTCAGTTTTGGTCTTTAGTGTTAACAAAAAAACTCACTTTAAGATTATTTCTTTGATTATATAGATGGTTTGAGCCTTATGTAATGCAGTGGTTAAATGAAAATGATGAGGTGTCCATGGAATTTTTACGTGGTGCTTACGATAGAGATAAAAAGGATGGGGTATTGGTTTTAGATTTTTTTTACATTGTTCAGAGGTCATGGTATAAAATAATATAACTATTTTCTAACAATGTATACAGGTTAGAAAAAGTTCATTAGATATTTCACAATTTATGGTTAAAAAAAAAGAAAAGCCACATTGGTCTTTATTAAGATAAAATACATTTCAGTAGTACAGTTTAGTGGTTAATGAAGTATCTGTTATATAATTGTATGCTTCAGTGGTAATGCCTCTATACCATAATATAATATACATTATGTTCCAGCATCACTAATTACCTGCTATTTTTACTTTGACAGTTCCAGAAGAGCTCGGAGCACTATCTTTTCTCTAGTTCTGTGGTCGACATATTTACCCAGTTAAACCAATGTATAGAAGTTATTAAGAAGTTAGAATGTCCAGACCCAGAGATAGTAAAAAGATACATGAGGAGGTTTGCTATTGTAAGTTCAGAGAACCTCTTATGAACCTCTTATGACTTCCTCTATGTTACAATTTATAGCAGTAATTGGAATTTTTTGTTGCTTGGCCTAGGGATTAAGTATTCTTTTACATAATTTGCTTGGATAATTATAAAAAATGAAATAAAATATGAGTTCTATATGATATAATGCCTATTGATGAACACTTCATTGTTTGAATGGTATGTAACTTAAGTTTTATTATTTTTCAGACTGTTAATAAGGTGCTGATAGCTTATGCTGATGTAGTAAAACAAGACTTTGAGAAGTACACAAATGATCATAAGAAAGTAAGCATCTGCAGTCATAATTTGAATCAAAATGTGATTCTTGTTTTGTTTTTTTTTAAAATAATATTAATGAAAGGAAAAAGCCTCACCAAATACTGACCTTAAATCTGAACTATGGATATAAATATTACAGAGGGACTTGATTTGTTTATTTACAGATGTTTTTTTTTTTCTTTTGCAGGCTTGTATTTTAATGAATAACATACAACAGTTACGTGTTCAGCTAGAAAATTTGTTTGAATCTATGGGTGGTGAAAAGGTCTGTTGAAAAACTTGAATTCTCTCAATCTGTTTTTTTTTATTTTAAAAAATTGCTATTTTATTATAAAGTAGAATTCTACTTCAGGTAAAATAATACAGTAGAGTCCAGTTATTACGATGTTCATTTTGTCATGGTAAAATATCGTAATATCGAGTGCAATGTATGATTTGAACATATTTTATTGCTTATACTTTACAATTGGGATTGGGCAAAAGTTCTAAAAACTTATTACGCCCTCTCCCTACATATGCATTATATCAAACATATTTACATACATGGGTTTCAGCTTAAAATGAAGTAACAATAATAATAATATAATAATAATATATGATAATCAGAGTAAAACACATTCAATAGAATACATTTCATATGTAATAGACATGCTGTATAAGATTTACAATTAGAAATAATTATTGTATCAACCAAATCATCCTGACTTTTTAATAAAAGTTTGTACAATAGAAAATAAGTATTCATTTTCAAAATCATTTAACGATTTGTCTCCCCAGTGTCGACAGTGTGTAATTTACCCATTCGCAAAAATTTGTCAAAAAATTCTTTCCTGGCTTCTGTATATTTTTTGCATGAGAAGAAATAATGAGTGCAATGTAATAAAAGTTCCCAATAAAATCCAGTAAAACATCGTTTTGTACAATGATATATTTGAGATTGGTCTAACAGATCGATTTTCCTTGCTTTATAAGTACAACTTGCAATAATAAATAAAATTCTTTATCAAAATGTGAAAGTAACTTTTTGATGTCTTATGAATTAAAATATATCACTAAACTATCTACCTTATAAAATTTTCTCAAATATTTTATGATTTCTTCCTTTACAGCTCGATTCTGATACTTCCAGTATTTTAAAAGAACTTCAGAGTAAATTGAATAGTGTTCTTGATCACCTAAGTTCTGTGTTTGCCAAGAGCTTGGAACCTCAGATCAAACAAAGTACACAGGAATTAGGTTTACTCTTATCTAAAGTGAAAGGGGCTGGGCAGGTCTCCCTGTCGCAGCCCAGTCAGAGAAACAGCATACAGCAGGAATCAGAGTTGGTGCTTAAACCTTTAATGGAGCTCATTGATGGCAGGTATGTGTTGTTAATTGTTCTCGTTTAAATCAGCTGAACAAATACACTAATTTGTGAAAGAATAATTGGTAATCCTGAAATATTTCAGAAAAGCAGCATTTAACTATTTATTTGTATATTTCTACAAGTCTTCTTGAAAATATTTTTATACTAACATATGAATGGATTGTTTCCCTTTATTCTCAAACAAATGACATGTTACCAGACTTCTCCAGACTTCCTTCAAATTATGTACATAAAATTTATGATATGATTTCTAAACATTATGCATGATTATTAACAGCTTGACAATGTTTGCAAAAGAATGTGAGAAAACTGTTCTGAAGCGTCTGCTGAAGGTAAATGAATGCTGCATGGTTAATGCTTGTACAATAAATGTACTTTTTTTTTCAATTTTGAAAGATCAGTGTTAAAGATAATATACCTGTATATGGCAACACTAATTTATTTATTCTAAGCTTGCACTGATCCTCCTAAGACAACTTTTCTGTGGCTGGATAATGACATATGCTGGTCCTGAATTGCAAAATTCTATTCCCCATAGTTATACTTTTTTCTGCCATGGCATAAATAGGGGGGGGGGGGGTATATAGTACTTTTATTTATTTTATTTGATTTATTTAAGTGTCCTTGATTTAATAAGTCTGACCTTGACCTTTGTAGGAGTTGTGGAGGATAGTGATGTACACTATGGAGAAAACAGTGGTACTGCCCCCACTCTCTGACCCCAGACAGGTAAGCATTAAGAAGTACCTTAATCTTAAAGGATATTGATTTCTACTTATTTTCGTACAATATGGAATTTGTTCATGAAAGTTCTGTTTTATTCAATTATAGATACTGGAACTTCAAATTTACCATTTGATGTAATTTGTATTTTTTATGGTGAATTATAATGATTTTTTTTAGCTATATATATGGCAAGAAAACTTTTGATAGTTATTACAAAATTTGTACCGATACTTTTGTCTTTGTGGTGCATATTTTGTAAAATGAAAATGCTTTATCATATATTATATAAGACTATAACAGTTGCATACCATCCTAGAATTGTTTGTCAGGCAGTATATTCTTAATTAGTTCAACAAAAGTATACATAAAAAGTATACATTTAACCTCAGTGGATAAAGGGAGGAGGGCTTTTGTTTCTTTAGATGAAAAAAAAATTAGCTGGAGGGGATAGAATGGCAGTGGGGAAATATTTATTAACTTAAGGTGGATTTTTTACTGGAATAGCCCAAAATTCAATTTGAAGTCAACAAAACTCTTATTCTCAACCACATTATAAATCTTTTTTCTCACACTAGAACAAAAATTAACATATGAAAAATCATTTTAAGTAAATATATGCACTATTTTAGGAGAAGGAGAAGGAACAAGCCAGGGTACATTTAATACAATTGTTGACTCCTGTTTTCTTTTTTTTCCATTTAATGCTTAACTGCTGATGCAAATTCATACATCTTATGACTCATGTTTAATTGATAACTTTTGTGGTATGAATTTGTATTAACCAAATGCTGATTTTGTTTTCTAAAGGGAAAGGTCAAAAAGGTGATGGATGTTTCATTTTGCCAAGAATTTAACCAGAAAATGTCATTCATCCTTCTAAAATCATATAGCAATATTAATCATGTGTTATAAGGGATTGGTCCTTTACTATCTCCCTGTAATACATTATAGATGGGAATTTTCCTAACTGGGACAAGTTCAAGGAAACAGTCTTGTTTTCAGTTGGAACTTTTTTTTTCATTTTTCTAAATTTAGTTTAAATGATACGAAAACGATGAATCTGATGAAAATGATGAATTTGTTTTGTGACCTGGAAAGCAGATAGTCAATATGAACTTGTCAGAGAAAAATTCTCCCACATTCTCTCACATTCTCTCACATTCTAAGGTTGCTCAAAGGCCATATTATTTAACCTTTAAATATATATGGCCATTGAACAGCTCTATCCAAACTATATTTTATTACATAAATATGCCCTATTAGACCATATTGGACTGGGAGGTTCTGGTATACATGTATAGGACTGTGTTTCTTTGTTGATGTACGTCTTTTTCATAATGTTTACATATATTCTTCCAGTTTTTGTCTCTTACTGGAAAAGGGGTCATGTTAAATGAAAAGCCAACATTTTTGTCCAAAATTCGAACTGTAAGTTGTGACGACATTGTAGGCTTGTTATGTTGGCCAAGTTGTTTTAGGTTGTCATTGATGTGTATCCCCCTGCTAGGTTGTGTCACTTCCACTGTGTTTACCTTTGTGTACCCCTTACACAAAGCAGTTGTATAATAACTAGTTTTGAGATTTCCAAGGAACAAATCTTGATACTTATTAAGGGTTCATATGGAAATATTAGATCTCTGATCTACTAGTTTTTTTTTATTGGTTAAAAAATATCAGTAAATTTTTTTAGAAGTTTGGAAATTTCAAACCTATATGTGAGCAAAGTTTTCTCTATCTCTCCATTTCATGCAGTTTTTGTCAATCTCTTCAATGTTTTGATTTGATTCAAGCTTAAGACTAACCTTGATTTCAGCTTATCCCCCTCCCCGGTGCTGCTCAAACTAAAATCGAGGATGTGTCTCGTCTTTTTCTCAGTCACGTCAGCCAAATGCCCATGAATGTTCCCATGATCCAGGTGATTCCTGCATTCTGATTGGCCAGTGCATGTTTAGTGTCAGCTTAGTGTGTCCAGGACTTAGAGATGTTTAGATAGACAGTGTTGTGTAGTTGATATACATTTGTAGATTGATGTTGATTTTTGTACTTCCAGGTGTTGTTGCTGATGCATTTTTTGTTGTCTTAGAGTGGAAATCATTGATGTTGTGCTTTTTCAAATTAGTCACATCCATATTTGTATAAATTGATGTATATACAGTATACACCTTTTAAATTTAACAGTGTAATGTCACTTCAGTTTTACGTGTCGTGGATTTGTTTTTTTTTATGTTTTTGTGTTAAACATAGTTATTTAGAATCCTCAGATTAAAAAATTTGATCCGCAAAAGAAGGAAATATATGTGTCATACATATACCTAGAGAAATTTTCAGATTGTAACACTAAGGTGTAATTGGCTGTGAGCTAGGTGGTTCATAATGGACTCTGCTGGAATCTAAATTGAAATTTTTTCCCTATAAGGTGCATGTCACTTTCTTATTATTGCCTTTTAACTGCACACATCTCTTACATCTTAACATCCTGCTATTTTGATTAAATGCACTTATGAATGCATAAAAAAAAATTATCAAACAGCTTACATTTGTAGACCTTCTTACTTCATTATTTCTTTAATATCAATTGGTTTTTGCTTTATATCATATATTGGAAAGTATTAAGTGAATTCAGTTTGTACTGTATACTGGTATAGTTTCTGCATACTTATTCCTTTCCATTGGGTTATGGTTTTCTATAAAAGCTAGATCTTGATCCACTCTTTTTATGATTTTTATTATTTCTTTAATATCTTTTCATTGTTTTTTGCTTTATGTTTATCAAAAATCAAGACAAAAATCATGTATTGCAAAAAATGCCCAATATACAGTACATGTAACATATAACTGAATTCATTGGGTTATGGTTTTGCATATAAAATTAATCTTATTCCTCTTTTTATGTATCAAAGTCTTTTCATGAGTAAACTGAGGTGACCTGCTTCAATTTTCGTCCGTCGTCGTTCGTCGTTCGTCGTGCGTCGTGCGTTAAAAAATGAACATTTTCAGCTTCTTCTCTGAAACCACTGAACCAATTTCAACCAAATTTGGCATATAGCATCTATGGGTGAAGGGGAACAAAAATTGTGAATTTCATGGGCCCTGCCCCCCTGGGGCCTGGGGGGTGGGGCAAAAACTACTAAAATTAGTGCAATCTTTAAAAATCTTCTTCTTTACTCCTGGGCATCAAGCAGTCAAACTGTTTGCATGATTGTAATCAGCATTGAGTCCTCTACCAAAATTGTGAAATTCATGGCCCCAGGGTCAGGGGTTCTGGTGTTAGGGTGGGGCTAAATAAGTATATAGTGAAATTTCATGAATTCTTTGAAAATCTTCTTCTCTGCTCCTGGGTATTAAATAAACTAACTAAGTGCATAGTTATGATGAGCAAGAGTGCCTCTACCACAATTGTGAATTTTATGGCCCCAGGGTCAGGGGTTCTGGTGTTAGGGTGGGGCTCTATAGATTATATAGTGAAAATACATAAATTCTTTGAAAATCTTCTTCTCTGCTCCTGGGTATTAAATAAACTAACTAAGTGCATAATTATGATGAGCAAGAGTGTCTCTACCAAAATTGTGAATTTTATGGCCCCAGGGTCAGAGGTTCTGGTGTTAGGGTGGGGCTCTATAGATTATATAGTGAAATTTCATGAATTCTTTGAAAATCTTCTTCTCTGCTCCTGGGTATTAAATAAACTAACTTAGTGCATAGTTATGATGAGCAAGAGTGCCTCTACCAAAATTGTGAATTTTATGGCCCCAGGGTCAGGGGTTCTGGTGTAAGGGGGAGGGGATCTTTAGATTACATAGTGAAAATACTTGAATTCTTTGAAAATCTTCTTCTCTGCTCCTTGGTATTAAATAAACTAAATAAGTGCATAGTTATGATGAGCAAAGTGTCTCTTCCAAAATTGTGAATTCTATGGCCCCAGGGTCAGGGGTTCTGGTGTAAGGGGGGGGGGGGGCGCTATAGATTATATAGTGAAAATAAATGAATTCTTTGAAAAACTTTTTCTCTGCTCCTAGGTAGTAAATAAAATAAATAAGTGCATAGTTATGATGAGCAAACACCAAAATTGTGAATTTTATGGCCCCAGGATCAGGGGTTCTGGTGTAATAGATTATATAGTGAAAATACTTGAATTCTTTGAAAATCTTCTTCTCTGCCCCTGGGTATTGAATTAACTAACTAAGTGCTTTGTTATGATGAGCAAAAGTGCTTCTACCAAAATTGTGAATTCGATGGCCCCAGTCATGGAGTAGGGGGGGGGCTCTTTAGATTATATAGTGAAAATACATGAATTCTTTGAAAATCTTCTTCTCTGCGTCTGGGTATTAAATAAACTAAATAAGTGCATATATTTAGTGCATTAGGGTAGTGATAAGGTGGGGCTTTAATTATACAATGAAAATACACTAAATCTTTGAAAGTTTTCTTCTCTGCTCCTTGGTATTAAGCAGATGAACAACCTATGTAGTTATGATGGTAAGGGTTAATCTTCCAGAATTGTGATTTTCAAGGCCCCACAAGGGTACCATAAAGGAGGGGGGCTGTACTTATATACTGAAACTGGATGAATTGTTTGAAATCTGCTCCTTGGTATTTATCAAATATTTTTGAAAAGCAAGGGTGCCTTTTCAAAAATTGTGCAATGTGTGCATCTAGGTGTCAGGGGTTGCATTACTGATCATGCTGAATATTACTGATTACTTGAAATGTATTAAGTAAACAAACTATGCAACTGCTAAGTGTATTGTTATGATGACCAATGGTGCCTATTTCAAAACTGTGAATGCCATAGCATCTGGATTAAAACATGAATCAAATTCAATCACTGGAAAGTTGTTGCATAATGCTCAGGTGACCTATAAGGCCCATGGGCCTCTTGTTTTATTTATATTTCCATACCGAAATATTTATATTCTATTATTGTGCCAAGTTCCTTTTGTGAAATGCTTCTTTATAATATAAAAGATTATGAATTAACACAAAAGATATTCATCTGTAAATTTTAAAGTATTGGTCGAGATTTAAAAAAAAATATATTTATGCATTAGTTATAGTAAATTTGACCAAGAGATTGGGTTGGGTTTACCTGTAGGACATGTCCAAGGAGGCAGAGAAGAACCTAACCCCCAAACACAAGAGTGGACAAGATTGGTCGAGCTACAGAGTTTACGTTCCAAGGACGCCTTAGTGTGCTGTGTTCATGGCCCTGTACACCCAGGGAGGGGCTACTGACACGCTAATCAAGACGTTCGTCAGCACGCAGACGTCGCAGGACCAGCCGTCACTAGAGGATACAGTGGGGGAGGTGTCCATACAGGTGGATCTGTTCACACACCCTGGGACAGGGGAACATAAAGTCACCACAAAGGGTATGAAAGTTTTCCTGTGTTTGAGTATCTATGCATTTATATGTGATATAAGCCCAAGCTGGGAAAGAACTTTTATGTTTATGGTTTGAAACATTTTAAACAATTAAGAATCATAACTTTTTCATAAATAAGATGGACTATTTTAAAACATATTTGGAAAGATTTTTTTTTTAAAAAGCAGTAAGAAGATATTTAGTGATGACAAAAGAATTTTTTATCTGTATTTTTAGTTGTGGCAGCCAATAACCTGAAGTGGCAAACATCGGGCATGTTTCGTCCATTTGTGGAGGTCAATCTAATCGGTCCACATCTCAGTGATAAACGAAGAAAACATTCCACGAAATCAAAGAGCAACAACTGGTCACCAAAGTTCAATGAAACTTTCCACTTGTAAGAGAATAATCATGCTTTTCTTTTAACTGAATATTTAAATAAGTTTGATGTCAAACATATGTATATTTTTAATGTTAAAATAAGAGAGAACAAGAAAACATAACATGATTTTGACGGAACTTTCTACATTTTCATTTACATATTTTTTTTCAAAATTGTTACTTTGGGGTATAAGTGACAGCAACTTTAATTTATTTGCAGCATTCTTGGGAATGAAGATGAACCCGATGCCTATGAGCAACACATTTGTGTGAAGGACTACTGTTTTGCCCGTGAGGATAAACTAATCGGAGTTGCTGTGTTGCAGTTACGAGACATTGTGGAGAAAGGCAGTTGTGCGTGCTGGTGCCATCTGGGAAGAAGAGTGCATTTAGACGAAACAGGATGGACAATTTTGCGCATTCTCTCGCAAAGAACGAATGACGAGGTCGCCAAGGAATTCGTCAAGTTAAAGTCCGAGTCACGGTCAGCAGAGGATGTGTCTTGAGACACATTAAAGAACAAAATTAGGAACTGCTAATTAATTCTTTTTTTAAAAGAATATTACTGCCAGTTTTTTTTTTCTGTTTTTTTTTACATTTATGTCCATCGATTGCTCTGTAACCCATGTTGGGGATATTGATTATTTTGGTGATAGTTGTTATTTAATTGATCGAAAGATAATTCTTCGCAGCATATTTACAGCTTAAAATGTAAAGGTTTATAGGTGTTTCTTGTAAATTTGAAACTTTAAAACTGTGAAGATATGTTACATATACATGTATTTGTGAGTGAATTCTTGCAGAGAAGCTCTGCAAAAGTACAGAAAGATTGCATTTGTAATGCAACTATAGATTTTTCACGGATTATTAATTTATGTCAAGGAATTTGGAAAAACTTGTATGGGACATTAGATCTGAGTTGCTTATGGTTGCTTCAGCCAATTTTATATGATTGTTTATGGTATTTATTATTACTGATACATCTCCCCAAGATATATATTTACACTTGATAGAAATCCTCTTTTGCTGCAGAAATCCAAATGCTACATGTGATACCTGTGTTATACAAACCATGATATTGTTTTATAGGGACTGAGTGCAATTTTTAATTTCTTATTACTAAACCCAATGAATTCCATTTACAAAACCTAAATGACAAGTCAGTTTTGTCATTTCTGTTCATTCTGGTTGTGTTATTACATGACAATTAGCTGATTAATACCAACACATAACTTTCATGACCATTAATTGATAGAATTTGTCTTCCATGGATCATAACTTCATACACCATACTTTAGACTTCACATTAGTTGAACGTAAGGATTTCATATTTCATTGATTTTTTTTTTTGTTTTTTTTTTTTACTTTATTTGTCTTGTTACTGATATATTTTTTCTTCTTTTTGTTCTACTTTTTCTTAGTCATTCTTCAATTGTAATTTTGTTTACATTCCACTCAAAACAGAGATAAATCAATATGTACCTGCTTATCTAATTATTTCAAAGGTCTTGCTCAAAATCGGATCTTCCCATAGCTATATATCTCTCATAGTTCATCCCAAGTTTATATTCATAGATGTTACAAAATATAAAAATATGTGTGTAAAAATAAATCTTTATCAGCAGTACCAGGTACAAGATTGTGTATTTTGTGCTTATATTCAAAAACTTTAATTAATACATTTCATATACAGAGAGAATATACATGTAGATTAATAAAAAAAAATTCTTTCTAGTTATTTTGCATGGGATACCGGTTGAAAATCTCATTCTTAAATTTGATGCCATGCTCTCTTTTTTTCTTGAAATCTAATTTTTTTGGTACCTCCTATTAATCTAGTCATTAATTAATAAAAGTGATTGATTGATATTACATTGCCCCCTGTCAATCTCTTTTAACTGTCTACAATTCTTGTATACATCTCGGATTTACTTGAAAGTCTCTCTACTTAATTCTTGACGACAATTCTATTAAGAAATGAAATCTCATTCCATTTTTATTCAACTATTGTATCATTTTTTTTTAAATAGCTATTTTGTATTTACAGATCTTATGACTTTGTTATATTTTTGTTTGTTTCTTCAAATTACTGGGTATCATGATAAATCATCTTAAGTTTAAAGGAGTTTCTATATACATGTATTCACAACAAATTTACTATTGGGGGAATTGATGCTTCTGCAGATGTGGCATTCTTTGAAAAGTACAAGCTCTGTTTTTGAAGTGTTCATTAAATATTTGTGGTCAGAATTTATCATTTGTTGCATTGCATTTTAATTCTATTTATTATACTGAAAACATTCCATTGTTATTGTTGCATAGTGCAAAAAATCAACATTACATTTACATGTAGTTTGTTCAAGAGACTTTTATTCAAGGCAGTTGTGAACTCTTTGTGTTGACTAAATATTTAAACAAAATTTGTTTATGTTACTCTAAAGCATTTACATTTGTAGAAGGCATAATTTTACTCATGGTTTAAAAATACCAAAATTTAAGGTTTGAATATGTGAACTGTAATTATCCAATGTAAAAGCAGAATAGTAAACTGAATAGCAAGGTGTGATTTTTATTTAAGTTCTCATCTAGATCTGTAAAACTCTCAATGCTTATTTTTTTTAAGATTATAAGAATCTATATACTTTGTTATTTTAGAAATTATATCTTTTCTTGTTACTCCTATTTGTGACAATTGTACATGACATTGTGAGACTCAGTCATACTTGATAACTTGGGTTGTATGATCTTTGATCTTTTATTCATGTTATTTGTATTTCTGGATAATAAATAAATTTCAAATTTAAATTTATCATCTGTTGCATTGTTTGATCCAATGGAAAATATCAGTTGCATATGGCTCATGTAATAGGAATCATACAGGCTTGGTTCTGTGTTGTTGCCCCATAGTAATCAGCCTGTCTCTCCATCCCATTTCATTTTCTCTTCCCCATGGCCTAGGTGGATTCATATCTTACCAATAGGATGCTCAAAAGTAAAGGGTGTACACTGACCTTGAAGCATTTTTAGCTCTTCTGAGCCAAAGGCTCAAAGAGCTAATGCTATGGCCATTTGTGCGGTGTGCGTTAACTTTTTAGAATATGGGCTATAACTCAAGAACCCCTTGGCCAATTATTGTCAAATTTGTCACAGGGTATCCTTGGCCCAAGGGCTACCATTTATACTAAAATTAGGGGTGGGACCCTAAAGCAAGGGGAGATGATCACGAAAATAAAACCAAAAGTACTGGTTGCTAAAAAATCTCCAGAGCCACCAGGCAGATTTTCACCAAACTTACAAACAAGGGTCGGGATATGTTGAAATTAAAAATTGTTCAAGGCATGACCCTGGGGCAAAGGGCGTGGTCTCAAGGTCACTTCAAAGTTGACCAAAAGAATGGAGGCATACAAGGCGAGGACAATCCCCCGCTCTGAAAAAAGACCTTTCTCAATTCTTAAAGTAGTTATAGTTTATATCATCTTTTACATATCAAATTCTGTACTTCATTGTTTTAATAATTTATTTTAATATATTTTTCACTCATGTTTTTAAGACATTTAAAAACAAAAAAGAAAAAGCTTCATGCATGATTCGAACTCTCTCCACAGCGCAGGTTTGGTCCAAGACCACTACGGTACGAAGTATATGCACTATTGACGTCTTTCAATGTGATTTAAATGAACGGGTTTTGAAGCGTAAATTTTTTCAGAAAAGTTCGATTTTCATATAGAATGGGTTCAGATTCCATTTTTTGGACAAATGAAATAGAATTCACATTTACATTTCCATCATTTAAGCGTTCACGAAGAATGGAGACTTGACCCATTCATGTTCAAAATTCGTTTTTTATAGCTCTATTAAACCAATTTTCCACTAAATATGCTTAACTGTCAACTTTGAAATAAAGATTATCAAATGATAAGTCGTTAAGTAAAATGAAATAATAAAATGTTTTGAAGATGACATTACTGAGAACACAATTTTAGAAAAATGTAACTTTTTGTGAATTTTAAAAATTGAGAAACATTTTGTATCAGAGCGGGGGATTGTACACGCCTTATACGCCCTCTTTCTTTACACTTATTAAAAACATTGATATTTTGCTTACTATAAAGACTAGGATCATCAAATCTTGTAACTTGATGCATCTCAGGACTTGACATCATGTTAAATTTTACGGGCTTTTGTTTTCAAATTGATTTGGAGGCATATTTTGGACACTTTAAGGCCTCTGATCAAAAAACTTTGTCAGTTGGTGCATCTTGGGTCCACAAACAACATCAACTTAAAATTAGGTCATTGTGACCTACTTTTTACATTTTAAGTACCAGTCCATATAAAAATCATGCAAAAGGTGATTCACTCAGGTTCTCAGAATTCAATGATTTTCCATACATAGATTTCTCTTGACCTATGATCCATGTATGTAAAATAAAAAATGTGTTGGATCATGGTTACTATGGAAACCTGATCAAAGTAATTTCCTTAGCAACCAGCCAATTTTTCTATTTGAAGGCACTGAAAATCACTGATCTTTAAAGCCTGAAATGATATATAAAAAACTTTTACAATAATTCTCATTTACTGGTATGATAAAGACACACACTTTATTTGTTGAAAACACACAAGACATTGCTATTTTATCTGAAGCTAGTACTATGGTAGACATTAGAATATGTGTATGTTTTTGCATTTTTGCTGATTCAGCATTTTCCTTGTTTTCGACAATATTCAAGGTCAATTTAAAAAAAATACCAAGCTAATACAGATTTTGCATGACTTTCACATAAAAGTAGAGAACTTTCTCTTTTACAGATTGACTTTGAAAGCGTAAGTTTTTTGAAAAATCCTATTCGTTGCCTAGCAACAAAATTGGATGTTTTGATAACTAAAAGTGAAAAATGGTAAAGGGTTGGGTCAAAAATCTTATAATTTTTTATCTTTTTGTGGCAGATACAATTTTTCAAGTGATAGAAAATAACTCTCATATAATTTTGAAATGAAAGAATAATTTATAATCATTTATCTCCATGGCAACAGGATTTTTTCCCTAGCAACAATGCAAAAACAGTTATTTTTTAGCCCTTTTAAAATATGTATTTTAAAATAAATCGACAATTATTCTCAAAATTGTAATTGGGCAAATTGTCAATTTAACATGGGTTTGAAATAAGTAAATTTTACTTTATTAACCCATGGCAACAATTCTGAATACCTAGCAACCAATTTTGTAACCACTTTACCTTTTTACATACAGTAATTTATTTTGTAAGTTTAAATGAAATTTTCCAAAAATGGCCTTCTGAATGAAAAATAAAAACAAATAGATACAAGTTATATATATAAAAATATCTCTGTTGATGAAAAGATTCCACAGAGTAACTAATTCTTGGGTTGCCATGGTAATAAGTTGTACACTGGCCAAAAAACAAACTTTTTGTTTGCAAAGTACACTACAGCTGTACCTGGCCCCCATCCAGTTTTTGCTTAATGGGCTAAACTAAATGGTTATTTAAGTACCTCTAGCATTTGTTTTTCTACAGAAATTATATTTTTTATGATTACCATGGGTATAATAAAGTGATATTGAATTATTGTAGCTTAGGTACTATTCTATTAGCTGCAGAACTGTAGCTCTCTGCTTGAGAAAATTCGGACAGATAAAGCAGAGAGCTATAACGTTGTAAAAGCCTTCGATTTACGCCGACGATTTTTTGTCGCTCACGTCGGGTATTTTTGCTTCTTTTTTATACTTCCCTCGGCTTTAAAATATAACTATGATTATAATCATACATTTAACTTAAATGCTTGATAGTTTACTTACCTCTCAACGCTAACAAATTGCTGTTTTTGGTTACGGACGTCAAAACGGAACTCTTTTAAACCGACAAACTATGAAACTACAAAACTATATACAGGACTGTTCGGACTGTTAAAAAGTAAATAAACTTTAATAAATTATTTTTTTAAAAAAATAAGAGTTAAAAATATACATGTAATTAATTATAGGATACAATTCTAAAAGCCAGAGAAAGTTTAAACTTCACAAAATAAATTACCTGAAGTAGCGACAAAAAAAAAGGCGCCGTAGAAAAGGTTTTTACAACGCTAGGATCAGTAGCTCTCTGCTTTATCAGTCCGACTCCGAATTTTCTCAAGCAGAGAGCTGCACTTCTGTAGCTACTATTCTATGTGAAAGATAAAGGCTCTCATAAAGCTTTGTTAAATTTTACAGGCAAGAACCTATAGGAATTTTTGTGAAACCCGTAAAGATTTCTCTAAAGGTTGAAACTTATTTAAGACATTTTTTGTGAAAAGGTCTATTGGTTTTGAAAGTATCTGGAAATCAATCGCTGTACTTTGAAATGGAAGATTGATTGATTGATTGTATGTTGTTTAACGTTCCTCTCGAGAATTTTTCATTTTTATGAAGACGCCACCACTTGCTGTCTGTTTGCCTGTTTGTCCGCAAAAACTTTAACCTTGCCCATAACGTTTGATTTAGTGGAGCTATGACTTTCATATTTCACAGGTGTGTTCCTTGTGATAAGACCTTTCTTTTTGAGTACCACCAAATTTGACCTTGGAGTTTGACCCGCTTTTACACAAAAATTTCAAACTTTTACTTTGGCCATATCTTTTGAACAATAGATACCAGAACTTTTATACTTCAAATATGTATTTTTTGTGGAAAAACCTTTCATTTCATTGGATACGAACACCTTGGCCTTTTGACCTTGATACTATACATTTCCATACTTATGAAAAAAACTTTTATATTTCACTACTGTAATACCCCTCTTTGGATACCAATATATTAAATTTGCATTTAAGAAAAGTTTAATCTTCGTTATGTTGCCATATGGGGGCATCAGTGTTTCACAAACACATCTTGTTGTACATGGTATAACAGGTAAGACAACAAAACAGGGAACTTCAGATAATATGTATTTTCTGATGATATAACAGAATTTACATAATACAGTTTATTGTAAAGTAGTATTATCAAAATGCAGTATTTTGATGCTGAGGATGTGTATCCTTTTAAAAAAGACTATTGTAATTGCTAGTGCTTGCTTGAGAGGGCTAGCAGCTGAAAAGATGGCTCTTTATATAGCGAGGCAATAGAAGTTCCTTGCTGCACATCTGTAGCTTGCTGGCCTGAAGAAAATTGGGATTGATGACTCCAGTTTTTTTTTATGCCCCCGTAAACAAAGTTTCGGGGATATATAGTTTTAGTTATGTCCGTCCGTCTGTCTAGCTGTCCCTCTGTCTAGCTGTTTATGTATTTGTCCACAAAACTTTAACCTTGCCCATAACTTTTGATTTAGTGGAGCTATGGCTTTCATATATCACATGTGTATTCCTTGTGACAAGACCTTTCTTTGGGTATCACCAAATTTGTCCTTTTGGCCTTGACCTTGGAGTTTGACCCACTTTTACCAAAAATTTTAAACTTTTACTTTGACCATATCTTTTGAACAGTAGGTACCAGGACTTTTATACTTTATTATTTGCATTTTTTGTGGCAAGACCTTTCAATGAGTACCAACAACTTTGACCTTTTGACTTTGACCATGGAGATTTCCGTACTTATGAAAAATCTTTATTCTTGGTCATAACATTTGAACAGTAAGAGATTTTATACTTCACATACATGTATGTTATCCTTGTGATAAGGCGCTTCATTGGATATCAAGAACTTTTGCCCTTTGACCTTGGAGTTTGACCTATTTTTCAAATACAACTTTAAACATAATTTTTGAAAGGTTAGAACAAAGGCTTTCATAATTCAAGTATTCAATCCTTGTG